TGCTGCTGCAAACTTGAAGCCAGACTGCCTTGATCTGATCTTTGGATGGCGGAGGAGCAGGTACTGACCGAGGCAATGGAGGAAGTTCTACCTGAAGCTTAGGCAGCTCCAAGTGATCTACTACTGGTTGTATCATTTTGACGTTCTGTCCTAGCACGGGTCCTGTCTTCTTCGCTTCCTTTGAAGTGCTGGGTTTCTCGCCATCGATTCTAATTCCAGCAGGAGGCATCTTCTTTGAAGTTTGCTTAGGTTTCTCAGCAAGCTTTTCAATTATAGGAGTTCCTGGCATTGGCCTCTTCACTTCCCTTGCCAAATTTACTCCCAGAGGAGGAGGCACAGACCGAGGTAATTGGGAATATACTGCCTTAAGCTTAGCCTGTTGGTCCAAGGGAATAGGAACTATCTTTTTGACGTTCAGAGCTACAATTGGCCCTGGCTTCAGGATTTCCTTGGAAGTATTGGCTAGAGCCTTCATGGCCTCTTTCGAGGTGCTGGGTTTTTCATCATCGATTCTCATTCCTACAGGCGGCACCTGCTTTGGGGTTTGATTAGGTTTCTCAACAAACTTTATAACCGTAGGAGTTCCTGGCATTGGCTTCTTCACTTCCATGGCTAAATTTACTCGCGGAGATGCGGGTACAAGCCGAGGCAATTGAATAATAGGAAGTTCAATAGGTACCATACGTATAGGCTGTTCCACAGGAACTGGTTGTATATTTTTGACGTTTTGACCTAGCACGGGTCCTGTCTTCTTCGCTTCCTTTGAAGTGCTGGGTTTCTCGCCATCGATTCTAATTCCAGCAGGAGGTACCTTCTTAGGGGTTTGCTTAGGATTCTCTACAAACTTTTTAATCGTAGGAGTTCCTGGCATTGGCTTCTTCACTTCCAAGGCTAAATTGACTCGTGGAGATGGAGGTACAAGCCGAGTCAATTGATTTTGAATCGTAGGAGTTCCTGGCATTGGCTTCTTCACTTCTTTGGCTAAATTTACCCGCGGAGATGGGGGTACAAGGCGAGGCAATTGATTTTGAATCGTAGGAGTTCCTGGCATGGGCTTCTTTACTTCCATGGCTAAATTTACTCGCGGAGATGAAGGTACAAGCCGCGGCAATTGATTTTGAATCGTAGGAGTTCCTGGCATGGGCTTCTTTACTTCCATGGCTAAATTTACTCGCGGAGATGAAGGTACAAGGCGAGGCAATTGATTTTGAATCGTAGGAGTTCCTGGCATGGGCTTCTTTACTTCCATGGCTAAATTTACTCGCGGAGATAAAGGTACAAGACGAGGCAATTGATTTTGAATCGTAGGAGCTCCTGGCATTGGCCTCTTCACTTCCATTGCTAAATTTACTTGCGGAGATGGTGGTACAAGCCGAGGCAATTGAATAATTGGAAGTTCAATAGGTACCATAGGTATAGGCAGTTCCACAGGAACTGGTTGTATCTTTTTGACATTCTGATCTAGCATGGGTTCCGGCTTCATGGGTTCCTTTGAAGCGCTGGCCAAGGTCAGGGCCCTTATGGCCTCCTTGGAAGTGCTGGGTTTCTCATTATCGATTCTAAGGCCACCTACAGTTGGCACCTGCTTTGGAATCTGCTCGGGTTTCTCTGGTTTCTCCGTGGGCTTATCAAACAAAGAAGTTTCTTCTGGCTCTTTAGCTTCCACTGCCGAATCTTCAAACATACTTTTGGGTGTCAGCACCTTTAGCAGAATGTGATAGTTTTTCTCATAATTTGCAGCCAAACTTAAGAGCAGATTGTATTCGGGTATATCACTTAGGGGTTCGTTTATACGCTCTTTTAGGAGCCAATCCTCGAGGGCATTTGCCTCCTCGGGTTCTATTACCATTGGGTAGTCAGAATCCAAATTATTGGATTTGGGTTCATCATCTGTGGACTTGTTTATACCCTCTTTCATGGGACAATCATCACGTTCCTTAGCCTCATCATGTTCCACTTCCTTTGGGTGTTCTTCCATAGACTTGTATTCGCGTATTGGACTTAGGGACTCGTGTTTATCCTTTTTGTTTTCTTTGTATTCGGGTATTGGGCTTAGGGGCTCGTGTTTATCCTTTTTTTCGAACCAATCCTCAAAAGCCTTCTCCTCCTCGGATTCTACCTCCATTGGGTTTACATCCATATTCATAGATTCGGTTACATCATTTAGGGGCTTCTTCTTACGCTCTTTTACGAACCTATTTCCAAGAACCTTATTCTCCTTCTCGGGTTCTACTTCCATTGTGTTTACATCCATAGTCTTGGATTTGGGTGCATCACTTGGGGGCCTCTTTTTACGCTCTTTTACGATCCTTTCCCCAAGGATCTTATTCTTCTCCTCGGATTCTACTTCCATTGTGTTTACATCCATATTCTTGAATTTAGGTACATCACTTGGGGGCTTCATTCCACGCTCTTTTACGATCCTTTCCCCAAGGTCTTTCTTCTTCTCCTCGGGTTCTACTCCCATTGGGTTCATACCCATAATCTTGGATTCGGGTACATCATTTAGTGGCCAATTATTGAGGGCCTTCTCGGGATCTACAAGCATTGGATTTACATCCATGATCTTGGAATCGGGTACATAATTTAGGAACCAATCCTCATGTGCCCTCTTCTCCTCGGGTTCTGAAATCATTGGATCTACAACTATTGGATCTAGATTAATTGAATCTAGAAAATCCAGAAAATCTGTATCGCTTGCTGCCTCCAGAGGCGAGTTGGACTGCAAGCTCTCTTGGATTTGGGAATTTTCATTTATATTGTCTTCCGTATAGCTACCCTCAATGCAACGAAAAAAGTCAGTAATCCAGAAATCATCATCCTCCTCTTGGTTGGTAGTGGCTGTGTTTCGTTCGCTTGACTTTAAAATAGATGCCCTAGGAATTATTTACACAAGTTGGTTACCTCTGGCCGAAACAACGATGTTGAATTGAAGCTTACCCGGGTGGGAGTGGTGCCGATTCTTGTTGTAGTCCTAGTCCCAGGTCTTCAAAATCGAAAAATCTATGAGAGGATATAATTGTTAGCAAAATAAATACATTTAGGAGGAGAAGAATGTTGAGTTAAGGCTTACCCGGCGGGGAGTGGTTCTGGTTCTTGTTGTAGATCTAGTCCTTGTCCTAGTCCCAGGTTTTCAAAATCTAAAAGCCTATAATTGTTTACGAGATAAATACATTTAGGGGACATTATTAACCCATTCGTTACAAGAACCTAGATCACTTTGCAATACAAATAAGGCAGCAGTTTGAGGTGCAGTAAAACATTAAATATGTTTGTAATGTAAAAACCGAAATTGAAATAAAATTGTGCCTCAAGAATTATTAACATAATTTGGTTAACTGATCGAAAGAAGAATGTTGAGCTAAAGCTTACCCGGGTGGGAATGGTGCCGGTTCAGGTACTGGTCCTAGTCCCAAATCTTCATCTTCCAAGAGCCTAAGAAGGAGGATAAAGAAGTCATTTTATTGACTAATAATTCTACTTTGTTAGTATTATTGTTATATATACATATATGTATATGTATATATATTCAGAAACTCTGCTTAAAGTGTATTTTTATTTAATGAAAACGTAAGCATGAATATTGTAAGAAAAAGGTGTAATACAGCGTTCTTCATATTGCTTCACTACAAGCGGATTTCATCTTAACCTTTGATTTTCTGAACAAGTGCAAGTAATTATTTATATTATAAATGTGAATATACCAAAGCAAGTCTTTGTTGTTGTTAGAATATCTAAATTTACACTAAGTTAAGAAAATAATGAAGGTGTCTCCCCATATGCATACCTGGCCAACGTTATACCAAAGTCCTCCTCATCATTATCGCCACTTGAAAACCCTAAGATTTCCCTTTCCTCCCATGGCTTGCTCTTTGATTGCCAGACGGAATCTTTCCTTGGATTATGTGACATATTTTCAACTTCTTCTCAGCAAAACAAAATCTTCTTTTAAATTCTCAAACGTCAAGAAGCTTTGGCCTAGAGCTGGGTCGTTTCCTCACTTTACTACCGATATATCGAATTTTTTGGGACGACGATAATGGCAAATGCATTAAAATTGGAATAATACTGCATTTAGAACATAATTCTGCCTTCCCAAAGAGCCCAACCATGTGAAATATTTGGGATTTTTCGCTGATGTGAAGCCCCGTTTCCCATAGAGCTCTATCTACCATCCAAAACATAAATAAAGTTGGTGGAAGTGAGAATAATATAAATAGTTTGGGTATTTTAAATTTTCATTAATATATAGAATATGCTAAAAGACTATGTTTAATTTTAACCCTACTTTATCACTCTGAAAAGTAACACCGGAAGCACATTATTTTATTTATAAAAAATGAAATCTTTTAATAATAAAAGTTATGAGGCAATAAAGTCTCGACTGAGACTCTCCACAGAACAAAGGAAGAGCAAGCACGGGAATCATTCAAGACAGTTACAAATGTACAAGATGTTTTTGGCGTGGGTCGTCGTAACCAACACTAGTTGACACATTTTTATTTTTATTGTGAATAAACCTAACACTCTTATACCAGTTAAGGGTACAAAGAATCGGGGTGTAAGTGTTATAACTCCCAATCGGTTAAAAAAATTGGAATTGAGGAGAACACTCACAAAAATATTGTGGGTTAACTAGTGTATTTATTGAAGGCAGATGCGTCGGATGAAGAAGACCTTTGTTTATGGCACGAGTTGTCGACCTTCGGTGGGCCCAAGGAGGGGTGGACAAGTGTGGGGCACCCATAAATGCCCCAAAATGGCAACTCCTCCACCGGGGACGGGCGCCGGAAAACCCGTTTCTGAGCTTCTCAGAATGTAAAGCGAATTTCGAAAAACGCAAAACGCGATTTCGATGACCTCATCCCCTTCGGGCCGACATCGCGACACATATTACCTACCAATTGTTTCCCCCGATCGCTCTGGCTGTGACTCATCTTTAACTTACTAAATATATATGCTCTTTTTTTGTATGCCTTTCGTTCCATTCCTGGCTTCAGCATTGGGAGCAGTCGTCGCAAGATCACAGAACGGGACGCATCATGACTTTCTACTGGTGGTCACACTGGTTCTGGATAACCCTAGTCCTGAGTGGTAAGCCCTCACCCCCGCCTCGCTAAGTGACTAACCCAGTAACCCACACATGCCCCCTCTCACTCACCACCAGTTGGCTTGATGTGCCGCCATGTCCATACATATCCCAGCCAGGATGGTGAATCCCTGGCCTCCAGTTCCCAGCCCGTGCGCACCACTAAGCTCTATCAGACAACGGTGAGCCAGACCTGGGCCACAGCCACCCAGAGCAACATCATGGACCTGACCCACCGACCCACCACCACCAATCGACCGGTTACCCCGAGTGTTACCCGGGCACAGGAGCTGTCCGAGATCGGTGATGTGACATTGTCGCAGTATGACGATGAGGTGGAGGAGGAGGTGGAGCAGAATCGGATGTTGTTAAATGATCAGGAGCAGGGTCCGGAACAGAATCAGAAACCGGAAACGGAGGCCGATCCAGATCCGGATGCGGATGCGGATGAGGATGCCGAGGAAGCTGCAGTAAACGAGAAACTGGCTCAGTTCGAGTTCAAGCGGTCGGCGGACTTCACCTCCGACCAGCTAAACAACTTTACGAATTTTAGCAGTAGCACTAGGTAAGTCAATAAACTCTACAAAAAAAAAACAAATTTCCTTTATAACACTGGTAAACATATTTAAATTGATGATATTAATAATAAAAAATAATAATAATAATAATAATAATAATAATAATAATAATATAAAAGTTAATATATAAATAATAAAATATAAAAATAATGTTTATCAATGTTTTCTTTAAACAAAAAATTCATCGCATAAAAAAATCTAAATATACCAATCAAGATAAGCAATAATTGCTTAAATAGGATTTTTTTTATAATAAACCGATTTTAATTATTAATTTGTAAGATTTAATCGCTCAAAGATGAATAATTATTATTTTGATCGAAAAAATAATACTCACAAAATAATGATTATTTTTAGCATTGCTTTTCGCCCAAAGTAATTATAATTATAGTTTGAGATATTTAATAAATATAAATTTATAATTATTAAAAATATAAAAAATAATGATTATTTATTTATATTTTTGGTCAAAACAATAATTATTCTTTGACTGAATAATAAAATTTCAAATAAATATTAATAATAGTAACAAAATATATTAAAATCAATATATCAATTTAATAATGATCATTCCCTGGTGTATGTACGTACCTTTCTCTTTTGAAACCTTCAACTAAAGCACTTAATTTCCATCCTCCAGTACAAATGGCAGCAGCAGCAATACCACAAAACCAATCCCAATTAGCAGCATCAATCCTCCAGTACCAAGAACAACCACAGCAAGGACAGCAGCAGCAGCAGGAGCAGGAGCACCAGCGTTAGCCACATCCTCGACTACAGCATCATCGCGAACATCGCCTGCTGCGGCTACTGCTGCTACGCCATCCACGTCGACACCATTGGGATCGGCGGCAGCCACACCGTCCACGCCGAAAATCAACACGGAGTGGCTCTCCGACGAACTGCTGGCGGGCGCCGGTGCTGGTGTGGCGGATGGCGAGAAGGCACCCTTCACGCTGGAAAATGCCAACAAAGAGGACGAGCTACGGCGGGCTGAGAGCGAGCATAGGTCGCGCAAGTCCAAGGTCCTATCGGCGGAGTACAAGCACATAAATCGCTATATTAACTTCTCCAGCGACACCAAGAGCCTGCTAACCAGATCAGCCTCTGCGGCGCCCAGCGTTTCGGGGGATGGAGCTGGACTCTATGATGCCACCGCTGCCGCTGGCGACGAGGGCAATATCTCATCCGAGGCGCTGGCCATACAGGTGGGTGTTTTCAAAAATAAATAATAAAAAATTAAATAAATAAAATAAAATAAATAAATTTAAAAAATTAAATAAATGAAATTATTTAAATTAATTTAAAAAAATTAAAAAAAATAATTAATTAAATTAAAATAATTAAACAAATTAAATAATTTAAATAAATCAAATAAATTTAAAAAATTTATTAAATTAAAAAAAAATTAAAAAAAATTAAAATAATTAATTAAATTAAAAAAAAAAAATGTTTAAATAAAGAAATTAAATAAATTAAAAATATTAAATACATTAAATAAATTAAATATATTAAATAAATTAAATAACTTAGTTAAATTAATTCAATTAAATAAAATAATAAATAATTGGTATATGTTAAATAATTTGAATGCTCTCTCTTCCTCAGCGAACGTATTTCCTGGACGCGGGCGCAATTTCGGCCATCTGCTTCACTGTCTTTGGCGTCTGCTGTACAGTGGGCACCATCGGCATCGTTTTGTACCGGCGGAGATATGTGAACAAACCGCAGGCTCTTAGCGAACCGGACTCGAGTGTCTACATCGACGACAGCACCATGCGGGTGAGTGTAAGGATTCGTCGCCCAAAATTTTAGTAATTGTTTTTATTATGGCAAATTTGTAATTGAATTACTCTTCTTATTCAGGACAACTCGGATGAGATGTACAGCCTGGACAACGACTCGTTCTTGAACTCGCTGGAGGCGATGACAATACAGAACTATTGGACGGATACTGTCAAACATACAAAGCTTTAATTTCCGGCCTCTCCCGTTGGAAGTCCCCATTACTTCTTATTATTTATTGATTTAACCTTTTTTTCTTTGCCTTAGTTATATTTTGTATTTTGTTTCCATATTTTATACCCGACATCATTATTGAAATTTATTATTAAGTAGCATTGTAGCGTTTAAGCGTGTGTGTATGTATGTGTATTTACTAATGATAGGCAACCAAGAAAAAAAAAAAGAAGGGAAAAACAAAAAAAGAGCAACTAAGTAGTTAAGTCCAAACTACCAAAATTACGTTTAGTGAATGTTTAGATCCTAAGTGCAGAATGTTTATCTCCCCCACACAAACACACACATCCTTCCCCAAGCTCTCTTAGTAACCAGTACTACTCACTCGTATCTGTTAGTTAATTATTATAAAGCCTTATTTATATATTGTTGACTATTTTATCTCACCCACTCTCTTCCCCCGGACTCCACCTCCAATTTGAAAGCCCCTATTTATTAAGTTTGTGAACATTGTGTCCAACAATTAACTGCAATCATTCCTTCCAGCTTTAGCCTATAGAGCAACTTTACAATGTAACAACTAATGTATTAAAGGAGACACGAAACAAAAGAGAAAAACCACAAAAAACAAAACAAACAGTAATTAAATGAGAACACCACACCTACAATTGTTTCAATATTAAAATATATATACATACCATATATCACAAAAATATAAGCTAACGAAAAGAACAAGAACAAGAAGAACTCTTTACTGCCACACACAATTCTTGTCAATTTTGCTCATCGAACTTTTATACACCACTTGTACTTACATCAACATGTATATTTTCCGTTCGAATGTTGCAAATATATTGAAGAAGCCAGACGGTAAATTAACCATTAAATGCAATGTGAATTTATTTTAAAGAGGAATATATAAGGAATATGTAGGGAATGTATACGGAATAATTGAGGAAATTACGGGGAATATATCAGAAATATATGATGAATATTTGGGAAATATGTATTGAAGATGATTCGATAGTTCTTTGGGAGAATAACCTCCGCTAAAGAAAGCTTGATTTTCTAAGTTCCCTTCTCGAGTTTACTTGGAAAATGATAAGTTATTGAAAAGAAAATAATATGTAGATCAATGCTATACAAATTACTATGCGTTCGACATTTTTTCTTATTATAATTTCAATCAAAAGCTCGAAATGCATTGAAGGTCATTTTCAACCCATTAAATCGTATACATCCTTGATCAGCATCAACAGCCAAATCTTTATAATTTGTTATATTTTTTATAACGGGTTACATCGTTAAAATTCTAAAAAATCGACAAAAATTTTTGATTTCCTAAAGTGAACATAGAAAAAACTAGAATTAAAAAACTTTACGAATAGAGTTTGATGCTATTTTGATTGAGTTATGAAAGATATTATGATTTTAATTAGTAAAGGAGCATTTATTTTTATTCAGCATCAACAGTCGAGTCCATCTAGCCTTGCCGAAAAGAATAAAAAACAAATAAATATTATAATTTTAAAACCCCATTTTAGGGGTTTTATTTTTTCAGTAAGAAGCACTTTATTATGATATGTATAACTGTTTTAAATATCTCTGTTAATTTTTTCGTATCATTTGGCCAAAATGGATCGATTCATAATGCTTCAATTGCAAGCTGCAAGGTTAGCTACCTTTCTTGTTTTTATTTGAAAATAACGATTTTCATTCCAGCGATGTCTACAAATATCGATGTAGCTCCACCTTCTGGCGAATATTTGAACATTGTTCGGTGGCAAGGAACATCGATATATCCAATTATGTATACCTGCTTATCGATAACCCAGCAGCAATCGACATCGAATTGTGTTACACCTCTACCAAAACGTCATTTTAGAATTAGCGAAATAGGAAAAAATAAGGAAACGAAGTAAGTAAAGCTACAAAACTACGGCGAAAGCCGTCCATTTTTAAGTGTTTGTGAAGAAAAAAGAAAGAAACAAGTGAAAAGAAAGGAGGAATCAGCAAAAACCGAAGAGAACCGAAGGGCAGCGTGAAAAGAGAATCACAGATAGAGCGTAACGGAGAGCAGAGAGAGGTGAGTACTAATTTTTTCGGGGGGAAATCCTCACTGGCTTCTCTTGTGGTTCCTACCCGCAGATATTGTGAGGAATTGTGCATATTCAACGATGAATTTTCTGCCTGGCGAGCCGCTGCCGCCGGGCTTTGAGGACGACGAAGTGTCCCCCCGGCCGGCCATCGTTCTCAAGCAAATCGACAACTACAAAAGCGCCCCACTGCTGGGCACTGAGTACGCCGTTGAGCTGCAGGAAGCCGCCCAGCCGCGTCCCGATTACTACTGTGTCCTGTGCCAGACGTGCAACGACAGCCGCTCCATCTTCGTCCATTGGACCTCGCAGGCTCACCGCGCCAAATACCTGCAGACGCACTTCCAGAAGGCCAACGAGGTCCTCCAAAAGCTTAAGCGTACACCGAACAGCGCCCCAATTCTGGTCCAGGCCACTGGCCATCTTGTCCAGTTGATAGAGGATCACTTTGGGCGCTCGCGTCAACTGCTTACCGTGGGCGGCGATGAGTTTCGTCGCTTTCGCGCCAAGATCTGCAGCCAAGTAAGAGATCTCTTCCATTTCGACGAGTGCGCCGGTCCGGATTTCGTGGCGGAGGCGCAGCGCATTCTCCAGGACCTTAAGCTAGACGACGGCATCAAGATAAACCTCAAGATGACTGAGGCGGACTTGAAGCAGCGTGACGATGGCAGTACCATCGCTCTGGATGCCATCTCCAGTGATGACGAAAGTTTCGGGGCATCGACTTCGCTCCATGACTCCTCCGGCAAGAAGCTGCAGCAGCGCAAGAAGATCCAGGCCGACGAGCAATCAGCCAATGGTCGCGGCGCCAATAGATCACCGCCAGCGCCGGGCGTAGCCCCCAAGATGCATTCACTGCCCACACCCAAAGAGCTGTCCATTCAGGCCTCACACATCGCCCAGGAGCGCTACAAGTGGGAGAAATTCCGCTGCATGCTGGAGCTGCAGCTTAAGCAGTTGCGCGACGAGACGGAGACGTACGAGACCAATCCGGAGAAGCATCCGGATTATCCGGATGAGTGGAAGCAGTTCTGGAACCGGCGCTACAAGCAGTTGCAGGAGGAGAAGAAGTGCGATCCCAATCTCTATGACTACAAGCCAGAGTGGATCAGCTACTGGAAGGATCGTCGCATCGAGCTCTTTAATATAGCGGTGAATAAGATCAAGAAGGACCTCAAGGAGAAGTTCAAGCTGGGCGACGAGGACGAGGAGAAGACCAAGGAGCTAATGGAAGCCTACAAGATCCGGGTGGCTACTAGTCCCCGTGAGGCCAGTGCACCGGCCAAAGCTACCAGTCGACGCAAGCCGAACTTCCGCAACAATAATCGGCCGGCGAATGCAGCTGGAGGAGGAGGAGGAGGCGGCGGCGTAACAGTGATTGATATCAGCGATGATGAAAACTCGAATCCACCGGTTCGCAATCGTCCGGCTTCCTTTCGGCGCTCGCACTCGCGCTCGAAATCAGCCAAGCGAGTGGTGGCCGGACGTCGTCCTGGGCGGCATTCCCGCAGCCGCTCGCCTCGCCGCAATTTCCGCCGTGACTCACGCTCCTCCCGGTCCAATTCGCGCGACCCCAAATCCCGACGATCTCGCACGCCTGGTGGCTACTACCCCCGCCAGCAGCAGCGACATGATCGCTATGCCGGCCGTCCCTCCAGCAGGGAGCGTGCCTCCTCGACCCACTCCCGCGATTATGGGGATCGCCATAGCATGGAGCGGGAACGCTCCACCGAATTCTATCGCTCCGACTCGTATGTCCGTCCCAGTCGTTACGAGACCTTCCGTGTAATGGACTCGCGCGAGTATCCCGAATACAGTCACAGTTTGTCCAAGGTCCGTTCCATTTCGCCGGCGGTCTCGGCCGGCAATAGCAAGAGCAACAGCAAGGACGAGGCCCTGGAGTCGGCGGAGAAGGGGCCGCTGACAGTGGTCAGCGTGCTGCGCATGCTGTCAGCCGTGGAGGAGCACTTGGGCAGCCTTGGACCAAAGGCGCTCAATCTGCTAAGCAAGGCACTGGCCATGGAGATGGTACAGCCGAATGCCGCCGACGATTTGCTTCTGAACGATGACAATTGTGTCTTTCTGGAGACCACCAAGGAGAAGCTGAAGGGCATCCTCATCGCTGAGGTGCTCGACGATCCGCAGAAGGTGCGCGTCGTCAAGAAGGTGATCACCAACATAGCGGCCATCATTTTTCAGGTCAGCTCGCGAGGTAAGTCTTTCTCTCTTTTTTTCGTGTTAGTTTTTCTTTTTTTTTTATAATAATAAAATCCCGAGGTAAGTATGAGTGTAAAAAAGAAAACCTAAATTAAAACTGGGAAACTATCGATAGTGGCACCGATATTTTCGATATTTTTAAAGCGAAAATTCGATACTATCGATAGTACCGATTTTTGGACTGTTCTTTTGATTAGATCGGGTAAAAAACTGCGATAAAAAATTCGATACCTCGATATAACCATCGATAGTTTCCCAGCTCCAACCTAAATACAAAAAATACCATTACAAATTGAGGTTTCGTTTCGCGCGTCGCGTCCTTTCTTCGTTTTTCGCGGCAAATAAATAAAGTTAGATTTCGAATTCGAATGATTACAACAAAATAAACGATCCAAGCTGCTGTTTTTTATTCTAGGCTACTAAATTATACACTTATAACAACAACCGCTGTACTATACTTAAGCGAGTATATAGCATTACAATGGGTTTATCTTAAATGTTTCTCAATTGGAAGTGTCTCATCAAGTCATGTCTTGCCAGTTTTGGTGTGATTTTTCTTGTTAACAATTTCAACACATTTAAGTTATGCTAAGAGTTTAGGTTTACTACCTTTAATGTTTCGTTATTAATACTTAAATTCGTATCCTCGTGGATCGCGTTCTTTAGTAGCTGAGCGTTGTGCTTTGTGCTCTAGAGGTGGATATCTATTGATAAAAAATATATATACGGAGTTCAAAAGTTATGTTTTCAAAGTGAAATGCCGAACTTAGAGTTGAAACTAAATCAATTTTTGGTAAATAGATTTTTTTTATAAAAAAAAATTAAAATAATATTAATCGATTAAAATCGAAAATGTAAGTAATTAAATATATATGTATGTACATATATATATATATTTATCAACGATTTGTAATTTTACTTTTCTATACAGTTTATCTATCGATATTTTTCTAAAAATAAATCGATTAAAATCGAAAATTGAAATAAAGAAAATTATATATTTATGTTCAGCTTTGTGCTTAACTTTTTTCGATTAAAACAATTTTAAAAATTTAAATCGCATTAAAAAATCGATTATAAAATTAATTAAAAATAATCGATTTATAGAATCGATAGCACTAGTATTTCGTGACTTATCGGGGATTTATCTTAAGAAATCGGTAATTTCAAAGTTATAGAAGCAGAGCAAATTCTCTGCAAGTTCGAGTTCGAGTTACCCCGTTCTTGGTCAGCTTTCCCCTCTTTTCTGGCGGGTGTGTGAACAATGTGTGCCAACGACGAACCGTGAGCTGTCTGTCCAATCGCCATCGAGTCCACACCACATCCATAAGTATAAATGTAATTTGCATAGTTCCGACCGCAAAACACAAGACAAAAAAAAAAAAAGAAAATACAACATACAACTCAGACCCCTGACGACGATGTGATGTTAAATCCTAACTGATTTCTCTTTTGTGTCCCTTCCCTTCCGCGTCCAATCCTTGCACGATCTGGACGATTCTAGGTGCGAACGAATCCTGCGAAGGACAGCACAAGCCGAACGCTACTCCGGTGCCCATACAGCTGCCTTTTGAACGCAACCTGGTGGCCCCGAAGCTAGCCAATGCCTTGGTCCTCAAGGGCTACTATGACGTGAGCACCGAGGACATGACCAAGCTCCTCCATCTGTTCACCTTGATGGTGAAAACTGATCACCAGCGCCGTCAGGCCGACTTGAATAGTACCCTCAGCTTTGCCGAGGTCTGCACCATACTGGGCTTGAGGGACACGGATGTTAATCCCGATGCCGAAAACATTGGCATCGATCTGGACGAGCTAATGAAGGAAGTGGAGAATCAGCTGCACAAGGAGTCGGTGGATGTGGTTTCCGGCCCGGCAGGATCAGCTGCTGTCAAACCCAATGAGCCAGCCGGCGGCAGCAATGCCATGGAGTCGCTGACCGACTCCGATTTACAAACGTTGCTGCAGAACTTCAAGTTTCTATCGAACGAGGAGCAGGTGCATCTCATTGGCCATCTGCGTAAGCTGGAGGTGCTGGAGCCGGCGCGCGTCCAGCGTTTGCGCAGATATGTGAACCTGGCGGAGCTGAGTGCCGATGGAGAGTCCTGCAGTGACTTCTTGTCGCGCGTGGTTAACAAAACGACCATCGGGAGCAGCAGTAGCAGCACCAGCAGTGGAATGTTGTCGAAGCCCATTGAGAAATCGGCCATTGGGCAGGCCATAGCCACGGTGACTGGCGGGCAGGTATCGGGCTCCTCAAAGGCCACCAGCAGCGAAGGCCCCTCCAAGGAGGCCCTCACATCGCTGACCTCGCGGCGTCGTAGCTCGGAGCGAGATCTCAGCAATCTGCCCATCAATAAGCAGCGACGCATAAGGAATTCCCCTGGTTTCATGATCGACGATGACGACGACGACGAGGATGATGACTACAACTTTGATGATCTGGTAATGAAGGCCTGCGATTCGAATGGCAAGAAGAATACACCGCCCATCATACCTGTCGAATCGTCACCCAATGCCCTGACCTTCAAGCCGGCAGCACCATCGCCCAAGCTGTCCATAAAGGACACCGAGAGCATTATAGCCGACCTTATGGGAACTCTCGGCAAGGGCAGCGGATCAGGAGGCTCTGCTTTGAGTGGTCCAGCTGGCAATCGTGGCAACAGCTTCATGATGAATCAGCAGCAGCAGCAAGCGGGAGCCGTGTCCAACCCACCGAATCCTAATAGAAATCGGGCGGCGGGAGGCTATCAAAATCCGGGATATCCCGGTATTCCAGCACAGCAGCAGCAGCAGCAGCCACGTCAAATCATGACTAATGTGAGCACTGGACCCGATCCCAGTCACCAGTATCCTTACGGAGGCGGTGGCTATCATCCATATGCCGGCAATGGCGTCCAGCATAATTATCCGGCACCCGGGCACGGTCCCTACGGAGGAGCAGGCGGTGGTCCGATCAATCCCTGGGCCAACAATGGAACGCCCCAGCCGCCGTATAGCCAGATACCTCAGAACTTCCTCAACCAGCAGCCCAACTACAACAGCATGTTCGGGGGGCGGCATTAACCCAGCTCCACTATCCATTAAGATATATATCCTTACCATACATTTGCCTGTAGAATCCTAGCGCCTAGATCATTATCCAAGAGGGTCAAATCCCTTCGAGTGTCCACTGCTTGCGTTGGAGTTACCATTTCCTTTGTGAACTCTGCCAAAAAATTAAGTCCTTTTTTTTTTGTTGTTTATTAGGATTATTGGAACAATAAAAATAATAATACCACGAGGTTGGGCAAATTTATATATATACATATACATATATATATATATATTTCTATATATCTGGCCTGCAGCAAACGCGAAAAATAAAGAGACACATTTAAATGTTTTAACGACGGTTGTGTTTTTCTTTTGCCTTTGTAAATACTTTTTTATGGCAACATTTTTAGGGGGAAAACCAAAATAGATAGAACAAAATTTTAAATTAGAGGAAATAATATTAAAAAAAGGCCTTAAAAATAAGTCAAAAATAAGTAAATTAAAGGAATTAAATTAAAAAAATGTCTTAAAAATAAATTAATTTAAATTGATTCCATTTATGTCTTTATTCTTTTGCCTTTATAAATATATTAACCAATATAGTTGGAAAAAAATTTTCAATTGGAGGAAATAACATTAAAGAAAGACCTTAAAAATAAGTATTTTTTATATCTTTGTGGATTCCATTTATTTCTTTAAACTTTTGTCTGTAAATATTTTAACAACATTTTTTGGAAACAAATTTAAAATTAAAGGAAATAACTTTGATAAAAGGCCTTAAAAATAAATTATTTTTAATGGATTTCAATTATTTCTTTTTTTATTTGCCTTGTAAAGATTTTAACAACATTTTTAGGGGAGAAACCAAAGCAGAAGAAAAAAATTTCAAATTAAAGGAAATAACTTTAAAAAAATGCCTTAAAAATAAGTATTTTGTAATTTATATCTTTGTGAATTCCATTTATTTCTTTAATATTTTGCCTTACTAAATATTTTAACAACAAAAATTTTAAATTAAAGGGAATAACATTAGAAAAAGGCCTTAAAAATAATTCTTTTTTAATTTTTTTATTATTTTGCCTTTGTAAATATTTTAACATATTTTTGAAAAAAAAAACAAAATAGAAGGAAAAATTTTAAAATTAAAGGAAGTAACATAAAAAAAGAAAAAATAAATAAATTTGAATAGTTATCCCTGTGGATTTGTGTGCCGATAAAATGTATGTTTTAAAATTGGTTAATAAAAAGATAATTAAGCTATTTTTGTTTATGGTTAAAAAAAAATAAAATTAGTTTAAAATATAGCCAAAATGTAAACGGAACTCCAGCCACTTTCTCGCAACAAAATGGAAAATTTAATGGATTTCCACCAAGGAAGACAAAGGAAACCAACATTTTGGAATATATGTTACAACTGCGTTCCAAGAGGGAAAAAAAAGTAAGGTAAATCACTCACAAAAACACTTCAAATCAAAATACTGTATAAATTCCGGGAAAGCAACAATCTTTTTTAGGATTATTTGAAATTAAATTCTACTTCAAGGAAAGACATGGCCAACCTGAAGACCAACCGCTGGATCGAGAAGCATTAACCCCAAGATTATATACCCCACATTTTACACAATAAAAACCGTAAAAAAAACACCAATTGGATATGTGAAGCTTAAACGCCTCTCTTTTTTTGTGGTGAAAATATGCATTACTCTAGGTTTTAACAGAGCCCTCAACTGCAGTAGGGCAGGTGGAGAAAGTCCACGGGCTGTTGCCTCAATATATTCGGTATCTCCTGCTGCAGCAGCTCGTGCAGCGACTGGCCACTGTGCTTGTAGACCCACTTGCCCGCTCCGCCTTCTCCGCCAACGAAATCGTATCGCTTGGGTCCACTGGTGGGGGAGCTGAGCCATATCTGCTTGTTGGGCGTCTGCCTGTTGATCACATAGGTGCCATGGCTGTGTCCCAGGTTCACAGTGAGCACTCCATCCTGCCGAAGGAAAAGCAAACACACTCAAAGGTGATGTAACATGAAGACACCAACGGAAACTCACGCTGTAGGCCACATCACTGCCCTGCAGATCGGCGGCGTTCTCGGTTAGCTCCTCGAAGTAGTCGCACAGTGCGTCCAGCGTTTCGGAGCACACACGCTCGTAGGTGGCACTGTCCAGGCTGGAGGAGGTCGTCTCCGTTTCAATTTCGTTGCTGGCAAATCGCCGGTTGGCATTCACCGATGTGCATGGGATCAATGCATTTGTGATGGCCATCGGGGAGCTGGGCAGGATTCGATGACTGGCCAGTCTTTGGGGTATTGTCAGGCATCCGAGCGAGGCCAAGGTGGCCTGATTCCGGCTCAGGCGGGCGAGAAAGCGGCAGGTAAACATGAACCTAGTACTTGTTTTGTTTATTTTCTAGATTTTCATGTCAGGCGCTGCCAACTCGATGCAAAGTGGTTTTGGTATATTTAACATTTAATTATGCTCCCAGCTTTTGTATCTATGTTCGGGTTAAATAAAATAAATAAAAAATAATGATAATAAATAAAATCAAATTTAAATGTGTAAAAGCAATTAAGTTGTTTTTGAGTCTGTTAAATGAAAAAAAATCCCAAGAGCTTCTACTCAACGTAGTGGAAACCGTGCATAGTTCGATAAGTGGGAAAATCGATAGCTGCCTATCGGGCTGCAAAAGTGTCATAACCAACGCCGACGCAGGCCGACAGAAAATGGCGTCCGCCTGAAAATTTTCATTTGTCTAAATTAATATATTTACGCCAAGTTAGCCAGCGAAAAGCAGAGCAATGGCCTTGCCGGGCAATTATAAGCAAATAGCGGTGGGTGGTGGCGGCAGCAGCAGCACTGGAAGCGGCGGCGGGAGCACCGGTGGCGGCGGCGGCAGTAGCCGGTCACGTTCCTCCGGCGGCGGAGGAGCCTCCGATAGGAACAAGGACCAGACGCCCATCTTTACGCACAGCAACTATGGCAATCCAGCGTTCACCCCGCAGAAAGTGACCAAGTCCTCCAGCAGCAAGAACCAGAACGAATCGCGCCTGCCGAAGCCCCCAAAGCCGCCGGAGAAGCCCATTCTGCCCTACATGCGGTACTCGAAGCGCGTATGGGATAGCGTCAAGGCCCAGAATCCCGAGCTGAAGCTGTGGGAGCTGGGCAAGAAGATCGGCGCCATGTGGAAGCTGCTGGGCGAGGACGAGAAGACCGAGTTCATTGATGAGTACGAGGCGGAGAAGCTGGAGTACGAAAAGTCGCTGAAGGCCTACCACCAGACGCCCGCCTACCAGGCCTACATGTCGGCCAAGAGCAAGGTGAAGACGGATGTGGATATGCACGAGACACCCTCGCGCGGTGGCGGCAGCAAGTCGCAGCACGAACGCCGCATTGACATCCAGCCGGCGGAGGATGAGGACGACCAGGATGAGGGCTATACGGCCAAGCACATGGCCTACGCCCGCTACCTGCGCAATCATCGGCTGATCAATGAGATCTTCTCAGAGGCTGTCGTCCCGGACGTAAGATCGGTGGTCACCACCACACGGATGCAGGTGCTCAAGCGTCAGGTCAGCTCGCTGACCATGCACCAAACGAAGCTCGAGGCGGAGCTGCAGCAGATGGAGGAGAAGTTTGAGGCGAAGAAGCAGCGTATGGTCGAGTCCAGCGAGGCCTTCCAGGAGGAGCTCAAGCGTCACTGCAAGCCGGCTGTAGACGAGGACACCTTCCAGAAGATGGTGCATCGTATGTATGAGGACATCAAGCGGGATCGCCAGCGATTGGATGAGCCCAGTGCGAACAATGCCGTGAACGCGGCCACGCCAGCGACGAGAAGCGGCGAAGAGTCTGCCGCCAAACCGCCAGCTCAGCCGGGGGCCACGCCTGCTGTCAGCCAGGAGTCGGGAGCTGCGGGGCCGCCCAAAGATCCATCAACAGCAGCGGCGGGAGCAGCAGCATCTCCGCCAGTTGTAAAGCCAGCCACGCCCACACCCACGCCTAGTCCAGCACCCAATCCCCCTGCTGTACCACCACCCGTGGTACATGTCCACGAAACGGCGAGCAAAACGGATCCGGAACCCATGGATATTGAGCCGCCGCCAAAGCCCTCGGTGCCACCGCCGCCCATTAAGCCCGAGAAACTGGAAATGGCCGCAGCACTGCCTCCGCAGTCCACAGTGACAGATGCCCAAAAGCCAGAGGTAGCCAAGGTGGTGACACCGCCCAGCAAGGTGCCCACACCAGGACCCGTGCGCACGCCCCCGCCCGAAGTGGTTGGATCGGGTCCGATTCCGGCTTCCGGGACAGCTTCAGCTGCGACAACGCACACGCCACCACCGGTCCAACAGCAGCAGCTGCCACTGCCGCAGCAGCAACAACAGCAGACAGCAGCTCCTCCACCCGGCATGCCGCAGATGCATCCACATCCCGGACATCCGCCTCCAGGGCATCCGCACATGCCGCCGCATATGGGGCCGCATCAGCCGCCGCCAGGCATGCCTGGCCTGCCGCCACCACCTCCTCACACAGGCTATGCCAACTATGGCGGGCCACCGCACGGTCCGCCACCCGGTCCGCCCGGTGGGCCAGCGCGTCCGTACTATCAGCCGCAATACGGAGGACACCCAACGCCGCAGCCGTACTACGCACCGTTCTCGCCGTATCAACAGTCATATGGACCACCGCCCGGCTCCCATTACATGTCGCCGCGTCCTCCGCCGCCGCAGCAGCAACAGCAGCAGCACAACGGAAATCCAGGACATCCCTATGCGCCCGAACACGGAAGTAACCCACCGCCACCACCGCAACAGCAGCAGCAGCAGCAACAACAACCGCCTCCGGGTCACCTGCACGAGTCGAGTGGAGCAGCAGGCGGCGGCGGCGCAGTAGGAGCTCCAGTCGGTGGCGTAGCAGGTCCTGCCGCTGCCGGGGCAGGCAGTGGTCTGTACCCACCGCCGGGAGCAGGAACGGGAGCACCGCAGCAGCTGCCGCCGCCGCCGCCAACAGTGGGTGCAGCTGCGGTAGATGGACCAGGAGTCGCAGCAGGCGCACCTGGAGCCCCAGGATCCGCGCCGACAGCGACCGGCAAGCATCCAGAGGCGGAGAAGAGCGAGGCGGACTAAGGACCAGGAATGTTCCGATTCTCAGAAACTAAACTATAAATAATTTGGGGGTCACATCCAACTTTAATTTTAAGTTAAAACCATTTTTTTGTGCGTGTTCTAATTTTAATATTTTATAAAACGAGTGTGGGAGGTGCATTCTGAATTTTAAACTAAAATATACGATTAAAATAAATATATGTATGTTTATATGTAAATGAAGGAAGATGTGATTTTTCAAAGGTTTTCATACATTCAGCTAAAAAGGAAAGCAGAAAAAAAATCCTTATGTATATGTATGTTTTTTTTTTTTTTTTAATTTATTCCCAGCGATACAAGTTAAAAAAAAACATAATTTACTGTGCTAGTCACAACAGGTAGGTTCTTAAAATGTTCATATATTTCTTAAAACTACAAAAGCTTGTAGTTCAAGTATTTTTTATTTTAACAATTTTCATATTTTTGTCTTGACATTTTATTTATTATTTTTTATACATTTAATTTTATTATTATTAATAGTAGTAGTAACTTTAGTATGTTTTACACAGAGTTTTGGTTAAAAATAAATATATATATATATAAACATATATTTAAAAAAAAAATTATTATATTTATATTTTACCAATTCAAGGGCAATGTATCAATTTCGGCCTTACTTTCTTGTTATATTTAGTATAGAAAAGAGACTGTTTATTTTTCTACCTCGAGTATTTTTTAAATCGAATCCATTAAGGTTCACCCTAAAAATAAGTCTCAAAATATCGATAGTCAGTTTAAATGTGTGTAATCGTTTTTGAAAAGCCTGTAGGTTTTTTTGTAGATTTTTTTAAATTGATTTATTGGGTATATAATATGGCTGTGTCACTTTTTAATTATATTTATTGTTATATTAATAATTTCAATAATAGTTTTCTTGTTTTTATAGACGTTTTTATATTTATTATCAATACTTAAATTGTACAAATTTTATTAAATTACTTTTTCTCTAAACCAAGTTTAACTATTTCAAAATATTTAAAATATCATAACTACTATAAATATACATATATTTTTTTTTTTATAAATTAACCTTGAATCCTATATAGAAATGTGGGTCACATAAGATGCCCAAAAAGCCTATTCATATTCACTATTAAAATCTCAATTAATAAATAATAAAATGTTTAGAAAATAATTAAAACAAAATGTAGTCAATTTTTTAAAAAGTTGAAAAGGGGTAACATCCTTAAATCTACAGAAACTTTATTTAAAAACTGTAAATTGTGAATTTCTTTTAAAGATTTATTAACCAGAAAAGCTTTTCATATTGAAGTTAATGATTTTTTGACTTAGTTATAGTAATTTCAAATGTTTTTCACCACCTCTATAACTTGACATTGTTAATTAGCAAAACAATAAATTAAAATGTAAAAAATAAGTATTAGGTTTAAGCTTGTAACTTTGAAAGATCAAAAGCAATACCGATCGAATATACAAAATAAATATTGTTTTTATATATGTACATACATATGTATCTAAGTATTTACATTCGCGTGCAGATAACGAACACACACACTCATAAACAAACGCATAGAGATTATCACACGTCAACAGAGAGCGAAATGCCGTTGGCTTTTGATTTTGTGAGCCAACTGTACCCAGCCGCCCCTCTGCCTCTCCCCCATCGATGTCATATATATATGTACATACCTGTATTGCCCTCTCTCTCTTGCTTTCGTTTCCACCAAAAAAATAAATAAAATGTGAGACTTGTTTTTGTTTTTTGGTTTTTTCTCTAGAAAAAACAGTTTATTGTTTGGGTGATTTTTGTTATTTTTTTTTTGCTGATGGTTTCCGTTCAAGTTTTTTAGCTGTCTGTTGTTTTCGGATTTGTGGATTGGTTTTTGCATTTCGTAAACTACGATAGACACATATGCATAATATGTATTAAATGTTTCGTGTGCAACTAGACACAGTTTTACATTACATTACAATATATATGCAGATATATGCGTGTTGTACAATACAATTGAATATTTTGCGTGTCAAACTACATACAGTATATATTGGGCATATTCCATGTCTGGTTTTCGGTTATTATTAATTGATGCTTTTCCATTATCGTATCGGGAAATTTGCTTACTGAGTCGTTATATTTTCTTCATTGTCTGGCTTTTTGTTTTTGTTTTGCTTTGCTTTCGTTTGTATTCTGCGTTCCGTCTAAACGTATAAAAAATGCATGTAATTCTAAAACTTATTGTTTAATCAACTAGCCGTCCGTCCATCCGTCTTTGCTATTTAATATGTACATCCCCGCCTTCGTATCCCGGTTTCGAGTCCGATTGACGCTCGTCCACTTTCAGTTATTGAACGTTATCCTTGCCTTCTCGAGGATATCTCATTTTCGAAAGGCATTTCTGGCTTTCAGACTCGGAACCGAACACGAAATCGGTGATAAACGGTTTTTGTTTGTGGCTCGCAGTAAAGGACAAAAAGAAACGGAAGAGTATTAATATCTAGTGTTTTCTATATATAATATATATATATATATTTAGTTTTATATGTATTTATAGTGTAATATGTAAAAGTAAGTGTACTCAATTCGGTCTTCGGTGTTATGTTGGATATCATTTTCATTTGCTTTTATAGGTGCCAGTGCCTTTGGGCTCTCCGCCACCGTCCTGTAGCCTTTCTCCGAATCCTGGGAGATACCATTGAGCAGTCCGGCCACCGTCTGTCCGCCTTACCACGCCCAAACAGCGTTTGAATGGTCATGATTGCCAGCACCACGAATCCCGGCAGCCAGATGGTCGACTTCCCCCTGAGAAATGGCCAGGGTTGGCAGGCGCCTCCAGATCCATGAAGCACTGACTTTCACGGCCCGCCATCCGGACAATTGTTGGAGTAGTTGGTGGCAGATGTTGCAGACGGACAGGCGATGACGGCCGCCCGTGTATCCCCGCAACAATGTGGACGCAGATGGGTTGCACGGCATGCAGACGGCGACGAAGCAGCTTTCAGCACAAGCGGAAAAAAAACTTACAAACTAATGTATAATAATAATAATAAGATTTTAAAGTTATATTTAAGCATTATAATTAAGTTTTTTTTGTTTTTTTTTTTCTGTTTATATGTGGTTGTTGTCAAAGTTTGTAGATTTTCCCATTCGTAAAATTAACAAAAAGCGACAAATGTGTTGGGTTTGTGTGAGTGTTTTGTGTAAGTATTTAAGATTACGAATGGTGAATTGATCTCGTCAAACTTTGCCGATTTTCCCATTCGCAATATTAACACTAAGCGACAGGTGTATGTTGTGGTTGTGTAAATGGTTATGTTAGTATGTAAGATTACGAATGGTGAATTGATCGGCGTGTGTTTCACAGCAAAGATTGCTGCTGATGATGATGATACTGCTTAAGCACGCTCGCCACGGATGCGGCGCGCCAGCTGAATGTCCTTCGGCATAATGGTGACGCGCTTGGCGTGAATAGCGCACAAATTTGTATCCTCAAAAAGGCCCACCAGATAGGCCTCGGATGCCTCCTGCAATACATCAACGAACGGAAAAAGTCAATACATATTCGATTCGATTTAAGAGTCAAATCTCACCTGAAGGGCTCCGATAGCGGCCGACTGGAAACGCAAATCGGTTTTGAAGTCCTGTGCGATTTCACGCACCAGGCGCTGGAAGGGAAGCTTGCGGATGAGCAACTCGGTCGACTTTTGATAGCGACGGATTTCACGCAGAGCGACAGTTCCAGGGCGATAGCGATGCGGCTTCTTTACGCCGCCAGTTGATGGGGCGGACTTACGCGCGGCCTTTGTAGCCAGCTGCTTGCGAGGAGCCTTTCCTCCAGTAGATTTACGAGCGGTCTGCTTGGTACGGGCCATTTTTCTTTATTTATTGAAAACTGCAAGAATTCACAGGGAAGATAATCGATATTATATTACCATATAAAAACAACAGAATTTATAGTCGAAGCTATCACCAACTTTTTAAACAATAACTTTGTCTTATAAAAATAATCTTAAACCAAAAAAGCACTGTTTAACCCACGCGAGAGCGCCAGGATACTGACAAGGACATTATAGTTTCTGAATGTAGCCGGGGAGCCAAAGTAAGAGCCGATGCACAGCGCCGAAGCGCTGGCGGCCTACTGACGTCTATCCAAGATCCGTTGCCAGAATGAAGACTAGGATGACGGCGTAGAGGGTTGGAATGTAAATATTAAATATTATACAAATCGTGACAGCTGCCTGCCAAACACTTCCATATTTTTTGCTTTTCTTTTTTCTGGGAACACACAGAGACGGGGAGCCACTTGAGAAACTTCTGCTCGAGTGGATGTGGGAAGGAGGCGAGCAGAGCAAAGCCAGACCAAGTCGTGCCTCGCTTGCCACGGACCAGCGGCAGTTCCACGGTGGATGGAGTGGCCACTTCAAAATTTTTTTTCCTTATTGTTATTTTCTTTTCTCAGCACAACGTGAGTCGCGCTTTTTGTTCCCTCTCCTATTCTTTTTATTTGGCCTTTTATGCGGAATTAATCAAGTTGAAGTAATGAGTTGTAGTTTTATTTTTTATGTGTGCAACGAGAAGGAAAAGAAAAGAAAAGAAATAAATGTGCACAGGCAAGAGATTTGCTTTTCTATTAATTCGATATTCGTTCAACGCTTTTTATGCCAATTCCTGCTAATTAGTTACTACCAATCTGCATCTGAGCTACTTTCCAGTTGTTTCTTTAGCTGCCCCTCTCCCCTCTCACGAAGCGCGAAAAAAGAAAGAGTAAACATAAACAAAATGAAAAGAAAAAACAAGCAGAAGCCAAAACTTGGCGCGCATTAAAAGGCGGCAAGTTAAAGCGGGACAGCAACACAGCACACTCGCGTTAGAAAAGGAGAAAAAGAGAGGAGCGACTAATTGCGTCTTTGCCACAGTACGAATCTGTGGATGTACAAATGTATGTGAATGTGTTTGTATTTAGACTACACATCCTCGGAAAATGTCAAAAGGAAAAATTATGCAACATGAAGTGAGGAAAGGGACTGTCACGAAGGATAGAGGGAGAAAGAGAAACAAGAATTCAGCCGAAGCATCCAGAATTTGTAGAAACTGCGCATGACAGACACAGACACACACGCATACGCTCATACATATGCACATTTGCATTCCCCTTACACACACACAGGGAAACTGCAAGCCAATAAATCACAATTTTACAATTGCCAGCCACCAAAATTAATGTTTTCATGCTTTTTGGAAGCCAACTCTGGCATAAGTTCGCGTTTGCGCCAATAAACCAAATTGCAATTGGAAATAAATTTATTTGTTGCTGCGGTCGCTTTCTGCGTGGCGGCCATTTTGGAAAATAGCAGCACACCACTACACGCACACCCAAAACGGTGTTCCCCTTCTCCACTATTCTTCGATGCATTTGTCGTGCGAATAAAAAAAAAAACGAAGACACCTCTCAAATCTTCGCGCATTTGTGTGTATCCAGTGGATGTAGATGTGTATGTTTGTAAGAGCGGTGAAAAATCGGGGCTCCGCCGGGCCGTCCAGCGGAGCCCCCAAACCAAAACAATACTTCAGACAAGAAAAAAAGAATACGGAGCGCAATTGCATTTTACTTTACACACACGCACGGAATATCAAGCAAATAAGCGTACAAATAGCAGGGTAGCTGCCTTCAGCACTCACCAATAAATGGAAAACACAATTATTATTCTTTAGAATTCTTTCTCACAAAGACGACCACACGAACGAAATTTTCGATTCACAATAAAATTAGTGTGATAGTACAGTGAATTTTTTGCCCACTCGAAATCGCGATATTCTCATTTGATATTTTGTGATATTTTTCCCTTGGTCACTCTGAATTTCAATTCAGGGAGCTCTACGATGCTATCGATGTTTAACATTTCTTCAAAACATCAATTTTTTTTTTTTAACTATCGAAGTTTTGAAAATATATTTTGCAGCTGTTAAATGGGAACAAGGCGTTAAGTAATTGTGCCAAAAATTATTTTATTTCTCTCTTAAAAGAATACGATTTTTAGTTTCAATTAATTTTAATGCGTTTTTAGATTAATATAATTTAGTAAAAGCCAATTAATGTGTGTTTTTTGTTCGTTACAATCATAAACTAAACTTATATGGCGTTCAAATTATAATAAATTTTTGAGCCTTTTAATAATTTTTAATAATAAATATGACAGACGACTTGTTGGCATAAAATAAAGAAATAAACTACTAAAATGATTTATAAATATAATGTAATAAAAGCAATACTATCGATGTTTCGCCCGCAAAACATAAAAAAATCTGGAGTTGAAAACATCGATTTTTTGTCAGCTCTATTTAGCGCAAATGAGCATTAGAGATGGAACTTACAAATTTCCTTAATGTTCGATTATTTTCAGTGTTTTTGTCAAAATACTAAAAAAAAAAAAAAAATTTGGAGTGATTATATATTTTGAATCCTGTCATATTTATGTATAAACAATTTGGACCATACCCCCGAATATGTATAAATATATATCAGAAAAATGTATCCAAGCCATTTAACCAATATTTTCAGCTACCTCGGAATATCTATAGTCTTGTGATATTTTTATAGTTGGCGGCGGTCACACTGCGTTGAACATTTCTCCGTTTTTGTTTACGTTTGCACCGCGAAAAGTCGTAAGTCGTGCAACCTGCACTCGAAATCGTTCTGTGACAGCGGCGCGTTCAGCCGGCAAGCGCTTTTCACACCCGTTCGGTTCGCAAATAGGCAAATTGGCAAATATTCGTTGGCCGCCCGGTCGCAGCAACGGCACTTGGTCATTATCGGCAGCCGTTTTGATCACCTGGCGCCCCGTCCCGCTCGCACCTGCACCCGCCATTGGGCCGGAGAAGAGTCGCGGCAGAGCAGCAGCGGCATTTGAACCGAATATTCTTTGAGCGCCCCGCTGCCTCTTTTGTTCTTGCTCTCGTTCGGTCTCTTCTTCTTTTTGGCCACTAGACACGTCAACAGAATCGGATAGCCGCAGCGGCAAAGACTTGGGGAAAGGAGTGAGGCGAGGCTTGAAGAGAAGCGCACACGAAGAGGCGAAGACAGAGATCAAGAGAGGATATCCAGCGAACGAGAGAGAGATGCGCGTGAGCAACATCCGCAGCGGGCGGATCTGCCGGATGGCCTTGTGCCTGCTGGTCCTGCTACCGCTGCTCTACCTGTTGGCCAACTGGAGTGACCATCACAAGCGCGTCCAGGAGGCGTACCACTCGCGCTTCGGTGGCCCCAAGTTTGCCCACCGCCGGATGGAGGGGCGTCCGCGGGAGGTGCCCAAGCTGATAGATGGTGAGTAGATTACTCTGGGGACCCACAGATCACTCACAACGTGTCTTAAATTTAAGATTAAGTTCGGTTTAACCCTCGCCTGCCACTTTCCTACGAAAATGTATGGAAATGTAGTGCCTCAAGGCACTATTCTAGCTCGAACAGCCAACTAATTACTCATTTATAGTTTGGTAACAAAAACAAAAAACCTGCTTAAAAAGCGCACATTTCCCACCCGCGAACACTGACCCCCGAATTCGCCAATTCCACAAAATGTAAACAACACTCCAAAGCGGTTTTATTTAGATTTAGATTTTATATAGATGCAGGGTATTATAATCCTAGTCAGGAGGCTGCAACGCAGTGAGGGAGTCATTTCCGACACCATAAATCATTTTCTTGACGGGCAAGTCTATCTAGTCATGGGAGAAAAAAATGTTTTTAATTTTATTTTAGTTTTTCAAAAATTTATAAGGGGTTACATCGTTAAAATGATAAAAAAAATTGGCAACATTTTAAATTTTAAGTTTTTAAATAATTAAGCAGATTTGTTAACATTTTAAAAAGTAACAACACCACTTTCTGAATTGAAATTAATGTTTTTTTTTACTTAGCTGTAATTTTTTTAATTTTAATTTTTCTTAAAAATTAGTATAATTTTTGTTTAATTTGATCGATTTTGTTAAAATTGGCTAAAATTGGATTGTTGGTAAAAATGGGCAAACATTTTAGTTTCTTACGATTTTTAGTATGCAGATTTCTTAACCTTGGGAAAACTAGCACAAAAAAGTTTTCCAAATTTAATCTAAAGCTTTTTTTACTTAGTTATGGTTTTTTTTTTTTTTAATCTTTGATATATTCAAAAAGTTATATAAAAAATATATAGATAATTATAGATTAAAATAAGCAAATATTTTAAGTCTCCTTGAAGGCATAGGATGCCTTAAAAGCTAGTTAATAATAATAAAATATTAAGAAAACATTTTTTTTGTTATAAATAATTGACAAGAATTTGATTTATTAGTCTTAAAAAAATTTAGTTTTCAAGCTGCAAGGGTATACAAACTTCGGCTTGTTGAAGAAACTTCCCTTCTGGTTTTTAATGCTGTAACTATATAAAGCCACGTCAAAGGTATTTTTATTATTTTTCTTGTCATAGCTATATTATAACATTTAAAAAAATAATTACCGTGAAACGAGAGCTACGCAAAACTAATTTCGCGTGTTACATTTATTAGTTTCGCTTGAAATCCATAAATATTATAAAAAAGGATAGTTAATAATATTAACATATTTAATAGCAAGATATTTTTTTTTTTATATTTTTATTTTCAAAATTTGTAATAAATTAACTTCTTAACTTAATTACCCATAAGACAGTGTGGTTCAGTTAATTCCTAAATTACAATACCTCCTGCAAGGGTATACAAAATGTAAAAAAGGCTAGCTCAATATTTAAACAATTGCTGCAGGTTTGCACTCACATTCACATTCAATATTCCCATTTGCAGGTCTTGGCAACTTTGAGCCCAAAGACCTCCAGCCACGCACCGGCCCCGGGGAGAATGGCGAGGCCCACAATCTGTCGCCGGAGAAGAAGCATGTGGCCGATGCCTCCGAGATGGAGTACGGCATGAACATTGCCTGCTCCGACGAGATCTCAATGCATCGCTCGGTGCGGGACACGCGGCTGGAAGAGTGCCGCCACTGGGATTATCCTTTCGATTTGCCGCGCACCAGCGTGATCATTGTCTTCCACAACGAAGGCTTCTCTGTGCTCATGCGCACGGTTCACTCGGTGATCGATCGCTCGCCCTCGCACATGCTGCACGAGATCATACTCGTGGATGACTTCTCCGATAAGGAGAACCTGAGCACCAAGCTGGATGAGTATGTGAAGAAGTTCAAGGGCCTGGTCAAGGTCATTAGGAATAAGGAGCGCGAAGGCCTCATACGGACGCGTTCCAGGGGAGCCATGGAGGCAACAGGTGTGTATTTTAAGAGGAAATCTATTACCATATCAAATTATTATAATCATAGAGTCTAAGAACGTGCCATAATAAGCTAATATTTGTGGCATCTTAAAGATACTTTTAAAGACAGCAAAAAAAAAATATCCAAAAGATAAAATCCCACGTTTGATAAACTCTTTGACTCACCACCCACAAGCTCATTATGAAATGATTTAAAACCCAAACGTGATAAGTCAATCATTAAAGTTCCATCAGCTTTGACTCCACATTTAACCCTTTAGTGCCACAATCCACAATAATGGAAGTAATTAAATGAAACATTTGTGCCTTTTAAACTCAAATATGCTGTTAAAAAGAACATAGAAGCTTTCGTTTACCTGTAATGTTAGAAAAAACTCATGCCTATTACATATCTGCATATCTGTAACTTTATTTTAGTACTAAATTAACTTACTTTTCACTAAAAAAAAAGTTGGTTTAGTTTTATATTTTAACTTTGATAATCAAAAACGTTCGTTTACGATATTGCGGGTTTTAAGCGGACAAAACGTCCGATTCAGGCTCATAAACGATAATAATGTTAATCATGTCATGGGTTTTGTGGCAGAAAATGCTATAATTTTCGGAATCCGAATAAGATTTCGATTGCGATCCCCTTACGACAACATTATCGGGTTTAATCCTGAGATTTCGCTATACTCGTCTGCCATTTGTCCGTTTGCGCGTCCGTTTTTGAGCATTTAGCGAAACTAATGCGGAAAGTCCGATTCTTTGTCCGTATTTAATATTTTTAGTGGACATTTTTGGGATCCATCCTAACTAAGTATAACTAAGAAGTACCGTTAAAAGCTTTTGAGAGCTTTCAACGCTTCTGTACACAATTAGGCATCCATTCTTAACTGCTAAAAAATAGTTAAACATATAGAGAGCACTTATTATTATTGGAATTGTGAATCATTTAAGTGCCTCAAGTGGAACTGTGACTTTCATTGCTCTCCACTTCTTATAATTTTTATTATCGCATTCGAAACTCTTTGTAAAATCCTATATTCTGCTTGCAGGTGAGGTGATCGTGTTCCTGGACGCCCACTGCGAGGTGAACATCAACTGGCTGCCACCGCTGCTGGCGCCCATTTACCGGGATCGCACTGTTATGACCGTGCCCATTATCGATGGCATCGATCACAAAAACTTCGAGTACAGGCCTGTCTACGGGACGGATAATCATTTCCGCGGCATCTTCGAGTGGGGCATGCTGTACAAGGAGAACGAGGTGCCACGACGAGAGCAGCGTCGCCGTCCCCACAACTCGGAGCCCTATCGCAGTCCCACACATGCCGGCGGCTTGTTTGCCATCAATCGGGAATACTTCTTGGAGCTGGGCGCCTATGATCCTGGCCTGCTGGTCTGGGGCGGTGAGAATTTCGAGCTGAGCTTCAAGATCTGGCAGTGCGGCGGCAGCATCGAGTGGGTGCCCTGCTCCCGAGTGGGCCATGTTTATCGCGGCTTTATGCCCTATAATTTCGGCAAGCTGGCCAGCAAGAAGAAGGGTCCGCTGATCACGATCAACTACAAGCGCGTCATCGAGACCTGGTTCGACGACACGCACAAAGAGTACTTTTATACGCGCGAGCCGCTGGCCCGCTACCTGGACATGGGCGACATCAGCGAGCAGCTGGCCCTGAAGAAGCGCCTGAACTGCAAGAGCTTCCAGTGGTTCATGGATCACATTGCCTACGATGTATATGACAAGTTCCCGGGTCTGCCGGCCAATCTGCATTGGGGCGAGCTGCGCTCGGTGGCCTCCGAGGGTTGCCTGGACTCCATGGGCCACCAGCCGCCGGCCATTATGGGTCTCACCTACTGCCATGGCGGCGGCAACAATCAACTGGTCAGGCTCAATGCCGCTGGACAGCTGGGCGTGGGCGAGCGCTGTGTGGAGGCCGATCGTCAGGGCATCAAGTTGGCTGTCTGCCGACTGGGCACTGTCGACGGTCCTTGGCAGTACAACGAGCATACGAAGCATCTCATGCATCGTGTCCACAAGAAGTGTATGGCTCTGCATCCGGCCACCCAGCAACTGGCCCTGGGTCATTGCGATGTCAATGATAGCTACCAGCAGTGGTGGTTCAAGGAGATACGCCCGCGCTGGTAAGTCCAGCAAAAAGGTCGGAAAGGCGGAGGAGGAAGAGGAGATGGAGCCGTAAGATGAGGAGCAGCAGGAGGATCTAAGGAGATGGATCACAAGGGTTTCAGCCGGGGCAAGGGGCGATATTTTAGACAAAAGCAATTTAGTGAAAATGAGAAAAGGAATTGTTATTGGATTTGTAACGCAAACAAGTATAAAAACAAAACAAAAAAACTAAAAAATCACAAGAAACCGTACAGATGTAAGCATTTTTGTAACGCACTGTACACAGGCACTGCGGCGGACACATGGAAATCCCTTAGCTAGAGTTAGGGTTCGAGTCACAGGGCATAAAATGCCAAGGAAAAAAAATCGGCAAATGATATTATTAAAGCTTAGTAGAAATAATAACAATAAGATGAGTAACGCCCATACGTAGATCAAGCACGAAAAATTCAAGTCACATTGCGTTACTCATCTTGTTATTATAAGGTCTTTGGTAGGAGTTTCGATGTTGTACAATAAATTTGCAAAGACTTAAAATCTTAAATAATATGAACAAATTGAAAATGCGATCAAAATTATTATATATCTTGATAAAACCTCAATACATCACATTCCCAGATATATTGCTAAATATTTCAATCGAAGAATCATAGAAGAATCTCATATACCCAAAGTGTTCAGTTAATCAAAATGAAGAAAGACTGGAGTCCAGGCTCTGAGGGGATTTCCATGCCGCCCGCCCTTGTTATGTTCGTGCGATTGAGTGAGACAGTGCGATAGTTATAGAATGAACGCGAATGAGAGGGAGACAGAGTCAATCGTCTGCGAATCCGAGTGCAATAGATGATGATGATATTAAGAACGTGTTTTGCTTTATGATTGCCAACACAAAATCAATGTACTAACCTAGCCTGTATTCCTGTAAACCCAAAACTAACCTTAGCTAAGTTTCAATGCTGCCACATTCCAATCCAATTGGATCCGGGCGAGTCTCTGAAGCGGAGCGGAGCTCTACGGGTCTTGCATTGGATCCAAATTTTAATTTTTTGTTCTTTTGTTTTAATCTTCTAAATTTCCGTAACGTTCTCTGTTTACCAGGTAATACATAAACTAAGTATCGTTGCTAGTGCGCTGCGGGAGTTGGAGTTTTGAAAACAATATTTTTTACATTCAAATGTAACTCTAGAGTTATCGATAAGTCTGAATAATAGCATAGAAATAAATACGTTTTCTAAACACTTTATCTTGTAAATCCCCTGCTGTGGTTTATTTTTCCCTGTTGGTTGGGATTTACTATGTGTAATTTTTCACTTGAGTGCTGGAAAGGGTTTAAAGTACTTGTGAAATATATTGTATATAAAGAAATTGTTGCCAAATCCCAGACGAACATAGAATGATACGAAGGAGGTATTTAAAAAGGGTCCAATCTGGAGATCTACCTTGCTGGAAAACTTTGTTTCCTGCTGGTCATCCCTTAACTTTACCCTTGGCAATGCAAAAAATATTGATATATTGAATATCGACTAATTGTCGATATTTATAAGATTGCGTTGCAATATAGATATGTGCAATAAATCTGTTTCATTTGATTTATAGAAGTAAACAAACTAAATACATTTTAATTGATATTTTAGGAATCGATATTATTCGATATTCAAATTTTTTGTTATATCAAAATTTACGATCTTCTTGATATGATGTTTTTTGATATTTTTATTTGATAATATTGCTATTATAAGGTTTAATTCGATTTCTGGCTCGATACCTTATATTTTGATATATAAAATTGTACTGTACTTTTGCTTTGATATTATCTCGATATATTTGTCGATATATCCTCTCGATAGACCACATTCCACAAATGAGATGTGCTAGTTAAGGTACCCGGCTCCTTTCATTCATTGAACTTGAAGTGTTTCCTAATTTTAACAAATGATTCAGAACTTATTGTTTAATCGAATCGGTTGGGGCATCGATTGCTTCGATGGCCCACTTCCAGGGAAGTCCGCTGGCGATAAGATTCCGGGAAGCTCTCTTCCTATTTTGATCAAGCCGTTGTCCGTCCAACGCAGGTGTCACGTCCGTCAGTCCTCTCAGGGTGGCCTTAATCAACAACAACAACAAGAGGAGCAACTATCTAGCCAGAGGAATAGAGTCCACTGGTTATTGTTTTGACTACCACATTGGGGGAGTGGTGTTATCTAGTGTCACAGCCGCCGAGCTGCTCGACGAGGGACGCGGGATGATTAGATCCGAGAGCGCAATAACACCGAAATTGTTCAATTTAATTGAGTGAAGTGGAAAGAAGGTCTTATCAGTGTTATTATTGTTACCCTTCCTGGAGGTACATGCCCTCTATCAATAAGTAAAGGGGAAGAGTGTTAAGAGTTAGTGGCAGGGTATTCCCGCAATCAGTGAAACTCTATTGCCCGTCCTGGATTAGACGTTGTCAGCGGTGCCACTCGAAATTGGCAATTGGTGGCCAAGATAAGAGTCGAGACGGTATAAAATGGGTGGCAGCCAAACCTTGGCCATCATTCCGTGACTTTCAAGCAGCCGTGATTGCCGCTATATACTACTTACCAAAAATACATTTCCGCTTATTCAAGATGTCCAAGCTTAGCCTGATCCTGCTTGCCACCGTCGCCCTGCTGGGCTGCTTTGTGGCCCAAGGAGCTGCTGGAACGCTGCCCGTGGATAGTAGTGCCCGCCAGTACCAGATCAAGGTGGTGAAGGATATTCGTGCCTTTGCCGCCCAGCATCCGGGCGTGCAACTTCGCCGCATGGAGAAGCAGACCCGCGTAGGCAGCCAGGTCGTGCGCTACAACATGGGAGCCCGTATTTCTGGTAAGCCAGCCGGCAAGTAGGCTTTGTTATGAGTCAACTTTTTAACGCCTCTCCTCTTGCATACTTTCAGGTGACCAGTTGGTGGCCCAGGGAGCCGACACTTTTGAGTATCCCCGATCCCAGGATGTGAGCATGCAGCTCACCTACCCGGAACAAGGCTCGGGCGCCATTGTGTCCTACGTGGAGATCGTGTGCACCCAGGACTCCAGCGATGGCAGTGCCTATGTGGTTGCCGGAGGCATTGGTCAGCGCTTGATCTCTATTGTGTTGGAGGCCAGCAGCACCCGTAACTTCTCCTACCAGGCTCAGTACTATGGCCTGAAGGACTAAAACTAAGACATAGATTACCCATGGCTCCAATTTAAAACATATATACGAACATCTGTGACTCCTTAATTAAGCAACTAATCTGTGGTTTCACTTGGTCAGCTATGTTTTTCCATTTCCTTTCGAATTTTCTCACTGTGCAAACTTGGGATAATGTCATATCATATATCATCCGCAGGGGCTAATCTAGAGTAATTTCAAATTGTTTTCGTTGCTCACGCGCCTTCCACTTGAAACACCGATGACATAAACGCGAGGAGCCATAAATCTGGGACCGCCACTCACCTGCATCTGATTTGGATTCCGATTCCGATTCATGGAGGGTGTGAGAGATACCCAAGACTCGGAACCGAAGCCAGTGCCGTAAATTTCATATCTGACGCACTGTGCTGTTCTCAGCTGTCTGCTAAAAATACACACCCCGCGCTGAATTTTATGTACGCTATCTAGTCGAATCTGCCCATAGGAATTCCCCCAGTGATTCACCACGTCATCATGGGATCCCAGCTAAGCGCTCTCGAAGCTGCAAGGGAATAACCGTGGTTGTGGCGAGGGAACTTTCTCCAAACAATCAATTGTGGCTATTGAATAACTATAGCTAACTACGTCAGTCAACCAATTGAGAATTGATTCAGCAAACGCCCCGTGGCCCTGGCCCTGGCCATGGCCCTGTCCCTGGCTATGATGTTATGTTGCGTAGACACTGGCAATTGACTTTGTAGATAGGGCTTTATTTGCTCATTAGATTGTTTGCCATTGTGCGCCAATATGCATATCAAGGCCAAGATCGAATAAACAAACAAACACGCGCCCCAGAAGCGATTGGGGACAGTGAGAGAAGTTACCAGAACTCAATTTATAGTATACAGTTTTGCACAATTAGATAAATATATTGGTACAGCTATAGTTCTTGACAAGTCAGGATCTTGCTCTTACAATTTGAGTTAAGTTCTGACATGCCTGGGCACCACTGCTTTAAAATATGTTCTTACAAAATTATAAGGTAAGTAAATACTCAAACCGCATCAACAGCAGAGTTGATCTACCCATGTCTGTCTGTTCGTACTCTACACTATATAGACACTTGCTCATACATACGTACATAACACCTTTTGAGTATCCCAGATCCTAGGATGTAAGCATGAATTGGACGGCAACCGTCACTTCATGTCAGGAATGTTAAAACCAGTTGGGAATTATAATTGCCCAAGTGCGATATATTTTGGTAAAATATTTTAGGTCAGATTCGCCTTGGTTTTATGAAAAATTTAACATTGAAGTAACATCAATTCGCTGTTATGTTAATTAAATAAGGAGCTGCATTAAGAAAATCATAAAATTACCCAAAGTCTGAGAAAAATATAAGAATTAATTCTCAAAAAATTGATTATTGGTGGCTTGCCTTGATTTTATGGGAACTTTCATGGGAATGTTTTCCCAATTCTATTAATAATGTTTTTAGTTACATAGGTCGATTTTTCTTAAAAGTAAAAAATATATATGTTAAGGTCTTATAGAATTCATAGATATTTCTTCTGCAGGTAGTACATTTGGAACGATAAGGTTTTCATAGAACTCACATACAATTACTTCTGTAATTCCCAAAGTAGTTTACTTTTGGCCACCACTGTTTGTGGAAATTGATCGTGGACACGTAACAGATAAGCCAAGTGGGGGAAGCCTTTCGCCAAGAGGAGACGGAAGTGTATAAGCAATGATGACGTCGGGTACTGGGTGTTGAAATAGTCTATATTCTGAGTCAACAATCTGTAGCAAACCGCAGAATGTGAACGATATGGCCGCTAACGATTAGTGTAAGCTAACCAGGCCTATTTATAGGAACTGATCGAAAAATTATAGCCAATTAATGGCTGCTTCTTTGAGTGCGGGCTAAGTGCGGCCTGCCGAAACTGACATGGCCATTTCCTAGGCTTATCGTTCAGAGTTGTTGGTGGGCCCCGCCTTATCAACGGGAGTGACCGCCGATAAGAGGAGGCCGTATAAAAGCGGTACACAGTCCCCGGCACAAGCCAAAATCCGTAAAGCGGCCGTATAGAGTGCATTTAGAAAGAGCAAACCAAGCCCCTGATTCCGGGTTTCCAAACTTCGGTCTTTCCTATTTTTTTTTCTGGTGATTTTTGTGGTGTGTTCACCGCTGAGAATGCTGCTTGTGATCTGCCTGGTGCTGGGCATCATCGTATCGGCCAACGTCTCGGGACAGCCCCATGCACGGGCCAGCGATCTCTACTACACGGACATCACACCGGTGACGGATGACACGCGGTACACCGCCCTCAATCCGGATGTGAAGCTCCAGGAGATGAACAAGGTGAAGCACTCTAAGGGCAACGTTGTCTTCTCCTCCGGGGAGCGAACACCGGGTAAGCATCAGCAGCTGGATTCACTGGGGTTAAATCCAGACTCACCAGAGAAACCGTTACGTATTCTCCTTAGGCGACCGGCTGATTGTTAACCATTACGACGACGAGAGCTTCGCGAGCGCCAATGACATCGAGGTGATGATGAGCTACCCGGCGGGAGCCAGCACCGGTGTCACGCTCACCTGTATCGAGGTGTATGTGGACATGACGGCAGAGGATGCCGGTGGTTACCTGACCAAGGGGGGAATTGGTCAGACCAATGCCGAGATCCTGCTTACCTCCAACCTGACGCGCAGCTTTGTCTACGAGACGTTCATCTATGGATACTAGCCACCCAGCTTTCTGCTCTTTGATCTTCTCCTAGAACTCTTTCAGCAACAAATAAAGTTTCGCTTGGAACCCAACTGTGATCATGAACTCCAGCCCTGTTCGCCCCTGTTCCCCATCCTCGAGTGTATTATTAGAGTATTATTATTAAAAGAAAACAGAAAAAAAACAGATTCCTTTGCAAATCCACAAAAATTGTTTCGCTTATCACAACTGAAAGTAAACAGCATACATATGTATATATAGTATATATGCTTCTGGGCGAAGTGGCTGGGGTCTTATCGTCTCACCCGTCTGGGTTTCTCCGGCCTGTCCAACTGCGTCAGCCTAGTTACCGGCTAATTGAAAGAATGTTTGCCAGAGGCAAGGGAGTTGAAGAGCTATGTTAACCTGGGTTAACCTTATCATTTGATTATAAACAGAATAAGATGAGTAGCGCCATACCAGGCTCTCATCCAGCCAGGGAGAAAAAGAGCGCTGTGTTTTGTATGTGCGTTACTCATCTTACTATTATAACTTTTCATTTAAAATCTGTAGAAGAATACTTAAAATTAATAGCTAAAAATGAAGCTTGTTTCTTGGAATATTTTTTGTTTTATTTTGAGTGTGTTTTTTTTTTTGCCGACCTCTGTTTTATTATAATTTGTTTTCAGATTGTGCGTGAAAGCTGATAAAGCCCGAATTCACTGGAAATATGTGATCCATATACATACTGCATAGCTCCAATGCCGGGCATCAGTTTTATGCCGATTCTGAGAGCGGCTACACCATGGCTTGGAGATCGTTTATTCTGTTGACGACACTGCCTGTGCTCTTGACCTGGGCTCAGTCAGAGCAGGCTGAGGGTAGCTTCTGCCCTTTCATGGCCAACTATCCGAGCAGCACCTGCATGAAAACCTGTCCGATCATTGAGGATTATATTATCAAGAAACAACTGAAGCGTGAGGATGTAGTAACATGCAATCAGGCCCAGGGGCTTATCTGCTGCCCCAACCAACCGCCACAGGATACCAGCTTACAGCAGGGTTCGGGCAGGCCTCCGCCTCTTTTCGAGTCCAATGCCCGGAAGTATCGTCACTTGGCGGAACTGGCCTTCAACACAGAACACTTCTCCGACCATACCTTCCGATGCACAGGCGTGCTTGTCCGGCCCAACTTTGTGCTGACCTCCGCCCTTTGCGGTGAATCTTTGGAGGGGCACAAGTCACCTACTCGAGCTCGTCTCGGCCTCATTAAGCTCTACAATGGCCCTATAGAGTTTAGGTATGATCGCCCGGGTGCTTCCAACTACAACAACGATCTCTCTCTGCTCAAGCTAAATGGCAGCTTCAAGGAAAAATTCGTAGCCCACATCTGTACGCAACGGGAATTCGACAGTGCCAACAAACTGGTGGCTGTGGGCTTCTCCCAACGAAATGGTAAGCCCCAGGACTGTCGTCCATAGGCAAGTATTGACATATTATTTTCCCATCCAGGCACGAATTGCCATCCGTTTCAGATGGAAGTGTCGCTGCGTGAGTTCAGTTCGAGTGCCGTGGAAGTGAACTTACCGGTCAGGGGCATCGGTAACGAGACCCACTTTTATGTGAGGCCCATAAAACCTCTAAGATCCGAGGCTGGCGCCTGTAACCAGTGCCTACGGGGAAGTGCCAGTATACTCCATGCAGTCCTCCCGGACGATGGCATCTGTGTGGCTGGAGTGGCCACGCCCACCAGCAGCAATTGCCATGACTCCGGTGCGCAGCTGTACTACACCAGTCTAATAAACGCGGATGTAGCCAAGTTTATACGCGATGCCCAATAGTTATTCGATGTATATTTAGTGGCGATTGAATAAATGATTGAAGAAGCTTCTAGGCAGGATCGTCATAACCTTTATTTTTAGCAATGTGGTCACACTAGCGAAATTATCATGGACTGTTAGTGTACTTTCCTTCAGAGTCATTCGATGTATAGATAATAATATTCAGCTTGTTTCTAAAATTATTATTATAATAATGAGATTAGCTTCTAGGCTGGATTAGGTTTATGACACTGTTATCTCTAGCAGAAAGGTCACACTGGTGAGACTGGTGTCAAGGACTGGCCACGCTGGCAAGTACCGTACTGTACTTTCCCTCAGAGTTTGGAGAGACTGCTTTCAGGCAACTTGTAATTAATATATATATTTAGCCATGACTGTCCAGTGGTGGGTCGCGCCCCCCACTCGAAGCACTCTCTCCTACCCACCAGGGTTTCTCCCAAAAACCCTCTCGACCCAGTGACTAACTCCTCCGATCTGGAGCGACTCAACCATGTTGGAAGCCCCTAAGCCACGCTCTCTCGCTCATTCTCTCTTGATCGATCGATCGATCGTTGGACCAGTTGGAGGGGGAAAACAGCCTCTGAGAGTCGTCACCGATTCCGGCTGTCAGTTGATAGCCAGCAGCGCCGTCGATCGGTCCAGCTACCGGAGGAGGGGAACTTTTAGCAAAAACAATACAACAAAAAAAAAAAAAGCAAATTACAAATAAATAAATAAACGAGCAGCAAAACACCAGCATTGGCAACGAGATCGATCGCCACGAGCCATGTTACGTCGCGGCGAATCGGGCTTTGTATCAGCCCTGATCTTGTCGAGCCTCTGCCTGGGCTTCTGTCGGGGATACTACAGTCTGGAGGGTGCGTAAGCCTATAAGTATAAGGAGGAAGTACCAGTATAGCTATAACTATAAACCCACAACTCAGCCTTATAAGTTTTCAAAGGCTTTGAGCTTGGTTGATATTTATACTAGATATAATATCTTATATGTAATATATATTGCATATATTTAATAATATATATATTTAATGTATATATACAAAGATTTAATTCAGGAATCTTTAAGAATTACTATACGTTTGTGAGAGTCGCCAGTCAGGGCCTTGGGCACCTTTAGATTCCTGAACTACAGACACAGTTATCTAGAGCCTAATATATTATTTATGACTCTAAATGGCCTTTTTTTTTACAATTGTCTATAATGTATTCCCGTTTAGTTAAGTGTTTAATTAATATGCCTTTGACATTGACCGATTCCTGTTGCAGTGGGTGACCCCTGTCCGACGGCTAGTTACCGCAGCCGCTGTCAGGCCTTGGACGACTGCGAGACCCTGTCCTCGCATCTCCAAGTGGGTAGGCTGACCATCCAGACCGTGGTGAACTGCGGCTTCACCAGTCGCAGCGAGAAGATCTGCTGTCCCGTAGAGGATGCAATCAATTTACCGCGCATAGATTCCACCGATCCCTCAACCACAACATCCACTAGCACTAGCTCCACCACTACCTCCACCTCCACCTCCACCTCCACTACAACTACAACAACCACCACCACGACAACTACCACACCTGCCCCTGACAATGGCGACGATTGGTTGTCCATCTTCAAAACGGACCTCGAATATGTCCAGGCCTCCACGACACCCGCACCGTTGAGGCCGACGCGTGACAGCGACACCCTGCGGGACAACTCCGTGGGAGCAGAGTGCATTGCTCCGCTGTACGAGGGCCAGTGCCTCGGCGTGTCCGCCTGCCCCAGCGTGGACACGCTCCTGCGGCAGGGTCGTCTAAGGGACGACGACATCACCACCTGCCGCGATGGTACACACGAGGAGATCATCTGCTGTCCCCTCAATCTGCCGCTGGAGCCGCGCGGCACCAAGCTGGGTACCCGCCTGGGAGTCCCTCAAGATTCCTCAGAGGCCAAGTCACAGCCGGATCCCCAGGAGGCGGCCGCCATTGCCCGGGCGGATGCACTGCTGCCGCATTACCGTCACCTGGCCGCTTTGGCCCATCCAAATGCCGCCTTCGACGGTCACCTGCATCACTGCTCCGCTCTGGTGCTGACCCCGCAGCTCCTACTCAGCGCCGCCGGCTGCCAGCGACCTAGTCATGCGGTTTTCGGGGTGGCTGATATGCGGGACGTCGACGTGGACGAGGATTATTTGGCAGACATTGTGGTGAGTCTGAAGGGGATTTTAAATCACAAATTCTAGCTAAAAGGTAACATCTGATCCCTCCAGCGTCTGGCTCAATTTCGAAATGATCTGGCTCTTATACGACTGCAGGATCCCCTGCGTTTGGGCCGGGAGAGCTCGGCCAATGTGAGCCTGGCCCCCATCTGCAGCCAGTTTGAGTTGGCGCGGCTTCAGGTAAGCGGCAGCCTGGTGGCCGTGGCCTGGGGCAAGGGCGAAGGTAAGTGGAGATTGAGACATAGATTGAGTGAGAGACTAACAAATCCCTTCCAGCCACCGACTGTCCCTTGTACGAGCTGCCCATGCAGCTGCGTCCCAGCTGGGCCTGCGAGGATCTGCCCAACTATGGTGGCGTCAAGGAGCTGGGCGGCTTGCATATCTGCCTGTCGCCGGAGGGCGGTGAGCTTGCCCTGCAGCGGTTCTCCAATGACAGCACCTGCGCCCCCTGTCCCTCTGTCGTAAGCAGTGTGCTCCATTTGGTGCGGCCCGGCGGCAGTCGTTGTGTTTTAGGGATTGCCACGCCCACGGGTGTGGACTGTGATGCCCGGGAGATGTACTTCACTAGTCTCCTGAGTTCACAGTTCAGGCGATTTGTGGAGCAGGAGCAGAGGGATTAGTAGCTAGAGAGGATCTGCCCAGAGCCGCGCCCATCAGTAGTCATCTAGGTTAAGCTAGAACCCATAGGATAGTCTTAGATAGTGAAGGAAGAGGAGAAAAGGAGCAGGGTCAGACTGGCAGGAGAGAGTGCTCACCAGCACAACATGGTCACACTGGTCTGGGTGACTGTACCTCTTCCTGAGGAGAGAATAATACCAATGTGAAACGTTGTATGCCAAAATACTGTCAACCTCAATGTATGTTAAGATATAAGATTTAAATTTTAAGAGTACAAGAAATATATATATACCTCGACCTGTAAAAGAACTGCCTCATTACACCCTTTCTTTTTATTTATAAATATATATAAATAAATATTTATAGGGTTTTAACTCGGAAGTCAACAGTTTGAACAGCATTCTAAATATAACTCTCGTGTGTTTACTCACGATATTCACGCATAAATTAAACACTTGTAATTCCAGTTGTAAGCCAGCCTTGGCTAACTTCTGCCCAAAGACCGGGTTTAAGTATTTCCCAGGACTAAGTTTGGGTGTTGTTTTGATTTTTATTTCTTCAATATATATATACATATATATATATATGTATATACCTATATATATATTGTTGTTTAACAATCCAGCAAGAAGCATAATGAATTCCACTTGGCCGAGAAATTGTTAATGACAATGGAAGCACAGCTTCTGTTCGGATCGGGTTGGATTGCTTCTAGCTCTGATTCTAAAGAGGCAGCCAGAGGCGAAACCGGTCCCCGAGCAAGAGAGAGGAGCAATCATGATATTCCCAGCTGTCGGAGCTGTCGGAGCAGCAGTTGCTCAAGCGATGCGTTACCGAGCGGTCAGATTCTGGTGCCGTGATTAGTGCCATAACAAACCGAACAGTTTGCATACTCTACACTCCGCCACTGGGCACCGGTTTAGCAGCTCCTCCGCCTCGTGCTCCGCCAGCTTGTTTTCCAATACCCATATTCAAATTAGCGATACGTCGTAGCCCGTTATCAAGGGGGCTGCCAGAGTATTATAGTGTAAGGGTTGTGCCGATAAGGAGCAACAACAATATGCACCAGAAAGAAAAATTAAATAAAAATCTAGATCCATCAGGACCTAGACATATTTTTGCCACTCAAAATCAATTTGGGAACACACACAGGCCAATCCCCCGCCTTATCGGGATCAGTGCGGGTTTGTCAAGTAGAAATTATTGTTCGGGTTTCGGGTGGGTGTTTCGATATCAGCGATGAGTGACAGAGTAGCGAGATTACAGAAGCCCCAAAAAAAAAAAAAGAAAATAGAAATATATATACAATATAGTGCTATATATGTGAGAGCGTAGGTGGGGTTGAATCACTCGGTCCTAGGCAAGATGGTGAAATTCCAAAAAAAAAAAAAAAACTATCTTCTTCCCTTTTTGGATTCACTCTTTTGGGTTCACTCTACCCCCAAACCCACTGACTCTTGTTTGACACTATCAATATAATCAAAAGTCGGTCAATGGCGGGAACATTATAATCAACAGACAACAAGCTCAATGTATTTACTTATTTCTTATTTACTCTTTAGGAAAGCCTTCTGATCCCTGATCACTTTCTTGATCACCTCCTTGAGTTGTTTTGAGGATGCTGCCTTTTAGCAGGAAAAGTCTGCTCTTCATCTTGATTACCGTCTCTGCCATTGTGAGCTCCGTTTGGGGTGACTTAAAAGGTAGGTCTCCTTGGAGTTAATAGAGAGATTCCTTTTTTAGCTGCTTCTTTCCCTTTGCAGTGGGTGAAGCCTGCAATGTGACCAGTAGTTTACTTGGAATCTGCCGCACTAGCAATGACTGCGAGCCTATGATCGATGGCTACATCAAGTCGGGCGCTTTGAGAATCGAGGATGTGCCTAGCTGTGGCCTCACCTCCAGGGAAGAGATCATCTGCTGCCCCACCAGACCCTGTTGTGCCACTGGGTAAGGTGATCATCTGGACAATATGCCCTACTTATCTCTCTTTCAACAGAGCACCCACCATAGCCAGCAGCACCACCACTACCCCTTTGACAGCTACGAAAAGAACGAGTTCTCGTGTGGATGTGCCCGATGAGGACCGCCCAGCTGTGGCTGGTGAGATCCTCCCCTTTACAACAACATAAAAACTATTAAATATATATTTTGTTATATCACACAGCCTGCAAAAAGATGCAGGAGGAGTACCGCTTGAGAAAAACAGGCCACAACCGCCTGGTCATCCATATTGTGGACGGCGTGCCCGTGGGTTCCGGCGTGTATCCCCATATGGCGGCCATTGCCTATGTGACCTTTGATCATTTTGAGTTCCGCTGCGGTGGTTCACTTATCTCCAAGCGCTTTGTCCTTACCGCCGCCCACTGTGTGTACACGGACAGCCTTATGCCGGCCTTTGTGCGCCTGGGAACGATAAATGTAGAAGTGCCGGACAAGGACTATGTGGATGTCAATGTGGTAAGGAGGAGCTTGGCCTGATAGAGGTATAAGTTATAGAATTACTCATGGTGTTGTCTTCGATTAGCGAAATGTCACCATTCATCCAAACTATGTGGGCAACATCAAGTACAATGATGTGGCCGTCTTGGAGCTGGCCAACGAGGTCATCGAGAACGACAACATACGTCCCGCCTGTCTGCACACGGATCCCAGGGATCCGCCTTTGGACTCCAAGTTATTTGTTGCCGGCTGGGGTGTACTCAATGTGACCAGTAAGTAGAGACCAGATCTTTCTTAGGTCTTTAGCATTTTTTTCTATAATCCCCCCCACAGCCCGCGCTCTATCCAAGATCCTCTTGCGAGCTGCCCTGGAGCTGGTGCCTCTGGCCCAGTGCAATGAATCCTATTCGGAGCAGCCAGGTGCTGTTCGGAATCTCAAGGAGGGTGTCATTGGTTCACTGATGTGTGCGGCGGACAAGAAGCAGCAGGCGGATGCCTGCAAGGGTGACTCCGGGGGTCCACTCATTCGCGAGGAGAACATCGAGGAAGGAATCTACACCATTGTGGGTATAATCAACTCGGGCTTTGGATGTGCCACCAAGACGCCGGGTCTCTACACGCGCGTGGCCTCCTTCCTGGACTTTATCGAACGGATCGTCTGGCCGGATAACCAGCTTCTGTAATGGAGCTGGTCAGGCGGTTAGGGTTCAAGGACCTTAGTTCATCACCAAAAACAATTGGCATCCACAAATCTGTGATTTCTCACCTATCAATCGGTCAAATTGAAATAAAACTCGTTGCGTTAAGTTAATGGTATGATAGATCGATGGGCAACCATTGGGAAGGTTGCAGCCTGGGTTAGAATTCTAGAACAGTTAGGATGAGATTTTTTATTTATTTAAATATATAAACGATAGTGAGTTCTAGGAGCTGTTGGAAATGATAAAACGGATAGAAAATATAGAGCTAAAAGAGCCTATACAGCAATAGAATCGATAGAACCGATATAAGCGATAGAGTCGATAGAACCGATAGAATCCAAATGAAGCACCGATAGAGCAGATAGTGCTTATGAAGGAACAATGTGTTCATCCAGTCTTGAGGTATTATCTGTATAAACAATTCGTTTTTAAATAATAGATATCGATTATATTCTTGTAGTAAATTTCACTCCAATAATTAATGTATAAAAAATTTTAAAAATGTCTAAAGGGACCCAAAAGAGCTGTATAAATCGATAAACCAACAAAGCCGATAAAACAGATAGCAAATATAAAAACGATAGAATCAATAGAACCGTTAGAGCTGATAGAGCTCATAGGGGACCAATGTGGCCATTCAGTTTTAAGGAAACCAATAGAGCTTATTGAATCGATAAACCGATAAAGCCGATATAACCGATAGACCCTATAGAGCCGATAGAACCTACTGAGCCAATAGGGGAACCGTGTGCGACGATAGAACAAAAAGAGGCAATAGAGCTGATACAACCGATACAATTGATAGACCCCATAGCCTTTTTGCAGCCTTAACTAAACGGTATCCTGTAGTCTGAACCCTTAGTTCCGCTTGGAGAATTCGCTAATTGCAGGCTGCTTTGGTTTTTATTTATTTTTTTTTAAGCTTTGTCTGTTCGGATTGCGTTCTCCGAAACTGCGAGGTGGATGGATGTGCTGCTGCTCGGGAGGGCAGGGAAAACCGGTTCACTGGGCGGGAGAGAGAGGATCAGAGAGGGGCAGGCCAACTGCCAACTGATGGGTGCTATCAGCTACCGGACCCGGCGCTTCTTGCTCCGGCTCCAAGCTTGGCCTCAGTTGCTGGGGCGATGCGTTGCCGAGCGGTCAGAGCCAGCCCGTTCCGCCAGTTCGCGAGATTTGCGTTGTTTGCGTTCAATTGTGACCAGAGATAGCCACCGGTTTTCAACGTTTTTATAGTCTCCTCTACACTCTCGTGCGATCTTTATATTTCTTTATTTTTTGTAATATTTTTTAATTCTGTTTTGTTTGTTTTGTTGTGTTGTGTTGTGTATAATTCACCAGTGCTCGACGCACTCAATAATAAACAACGATACGTGAACGAGTCCCGTTATCAGGGACCGAAAAAAGGTCGTGTCAAAGGTGGGTGGTCGATAAGGGGGAGAGAATGGTCAGAAGACCGGAGGGAGAGCATTGCATGCCACGGACATGGACTTCCGTTGGGTGTTTACAAGGGGAAAATTTTACTGGCCCCGGAAAACCGGAAGCTGATTAGAGCCGATAGCTGGCGAGGGTAATTAGTGCAAAATTGAAAATCATAAGGCATCAGTAGTAGGATTTTTGCTTTTGCAATCAGTGGACCTAGTTTTGTTTCAAAAATAACCAACATCAATGGGATTTCATATTATTTTCGTATTTATTTCTAACTTTGCTATGAATTCTTTATGATTCTATTAAGGCAAGAGGAAAGATATTAAAAAAATAGAATTATGAAAATATATTATAATATTATTATAAATACAAATATTGAAAATTGTTTCCAGATAAGGTGCTCCGATCATTTAAATTCTTTAAATTCTTTAAATTCTTTAAATTCTTTAAATTCTTTAAATTCTTTAAATTCTTTAAATTCTTTAAATTCTTTAAATTCTTTAAATTCTTTAAATTCTTTAAATTCTTTAAATTCTTTAAATTCTTTAAATTCTTTAAATTCTTTAAATTCTTTAAATTCTTTAAATTCTTCTTTAAATTCTTTAAATTCTTTAAATTCTTTAAATTCTTTAAATTCTTTAAATTCTTTAAATTCTTTAAATTCTTTAAATTCTTTAAATTCTTTAAATTCTTTAAATTCTTTAAATTCTTTAAATTCTTTAAATTCTTTAAATTCTTTAAATTCTTTAAATTCTTTAAATTCTTTAAATTCTTTAAATTCTTTAAATTCTTTAAATTCTTTAAATTCTTTAAATTCTTTAAATTCTTTAAATTCTTTAAATTCTTTAAATTCTTTAAATTCTTTAAATTCTTTAAATTCTTTAAATTCTTTAGTTTTTTTTAAATTCTTTAAATTCTTTAAATTCTTTAAATTCTTTAAATTCTTTAAATTCTTTAAATTCTTTAAATTCTTTAAATTCTTTAAATTATTTAAATTCTTTAAATTCTTTCGATTAGATTAATTCGGCTATTGATACTGATCTAGGAGAGGGAGAAGAGTGGGAGAGTGACCAAAATAAGGTAAATATGAAGATAAAGTACCTGGCATGGATATAAGACAAGTTTTTAATTTGTATCTATATTGTTCCTCAATTGACAGATGAGTTTAGACAGAACAATGCTAGATCGATTCGGCTGTTGATACTGTTCTAAAATATGGAACTTTTGTCTTATCAGTCAGTTTTTTGCTTATAAGAAGAGTGGGAATCTCAGAGTGATTCATCTGTCCCTGGAGAAGAGTTAGCCAAGTCAAAGAAGGGGGGGTAGAAGAAAGAAAATGAGAATGAGAGGGGGAGATAGAGAAAGAACGAGAGTGAGAGAAAGAGAGCCAGAGAGAATACTTCTCCAAAATGACTTTAAAAATCTGGCAAATCTCCGAGTTAAACCTCTTACTGTTTGTGGGACCGCCAAGTAATAAAAAATAATAATAAAAATAAGTGGGTCAATGGCTTACTGTAATCAGCAGAGAGAAAGAATTTAAATGAAAATAAACACCATACCCCGGTTTTCGAATCCCTCTTAGAGATTGCCTTTTCTTTGTTACACAGATTGCCGAAGATGCCCTCGGCGAGGAGGTGGTGGCTCCTCCTTGGTCTCCTGCTGCTCGCCGGCTGCTACAGGTCAGCGGTTGCGGATGGTAAGCGTTCCTTCTCCGGAGGCTTCTCTTTCTTTTTTTTTTTTACTAAACCTTTTTTTCCTTTGTTGCAGAGGGCGACGACTGCAAGCTGCCGATGGATCTGCCCGGCATTTGCCGCGGATCCTCTGCCTGCGACACCATCGAGGGTTACCTCAAGTCGGGTGCCTTGTCACCCAGCCAGGTGCCCAGCTGTGGCCTGGGGCTGATCGAGGAGAACATCTGCTGTCCCATAGCACCCTGCTGTTCAACTGAGTAAGCTCTTTATTCTCGGGTCCATGTTCCATGTTTCGCTTTCTGTTCGCCGTCTGTTTGTGTGTGTGTCCCGCCTAAGCTTTGTGCCCGCCGATGTTGCATGCCGCCCTGGCCGCTCCAGGATTAACCCCGTTTTACCCCAACAGTCAAGGTCAATTGCCAGCTCCTTCGCCGTCGTCGTCGCCGTCTCCCTTGCCTTCTCCTTCTAAGCTGCCAGTTTCTACCAGCTCCGAGCCCAGCAGGGAATGGGAACGGGATCGGGAGCCAGTCTCCCAGCCGCTTAGGGAGCGGGAGCCGCGGCTAGACGAGAACCTGGACTTCTTCGACTTTAATAAGCTGCTCAGTACCACCACCGTGAAGCCCCAGAAGACCCATGAATCCATGAAGATGCCCACTCAGAGAGTTGGTCCCTGGGGCATAGCTCCTCCAAGACCGACCACGCCCTGGGGTTGGGACAACTCCAAAAACGAGCCACGTGTTGTGGTCAACCGGCCAATGACCACGCCCCGTTCCAACAGGCAACCACCGAATCCCAGAGATCATGGTGACCAGAACCTAATCCATCTGGTTAACGATCGGTTGCGTCAGCAGGGGATGCAGATCGAGCCCGCCCGGGAGGTGCACCCACCCACGAGACAGCCCACACCCGCACCCGCACCCGTGCCAGCGACAGTGAGCAATCCATTCGAGCCCTTTCGCTTCCGTGGACAGGACAGACAGCTAGAACCGCATGTCTGGAGGGAGCCCAGCAACGATCTGGACGATGAAGTGGAGTTCGTCAGCCCTAGTCCAAGTCCAAGTCCGAGTCCGAGTCCGAGTCCCAGGAACTTTACTTTGCCCGATTTGCGGTTGGTCTGAGCTTGATTACGGCATGAACATCAGTTGGCCTTAGCCAGGGAGCCGCATGCAGTCTCTGTCTCAGGCGGAAGCCATCGTCAGCCTCGAAAGCTAATCCGCTTTTCTCTATTCGCAGTCCAACAACAACGACGACAGTCAGTCCAATCAACCCGGTCAGCCCCACCTCGCGAGTGAATGTTCCGGACAATGCCGAGCGGCCGGCGGTGGCAGGTGATTCCCCCTTTGACAATCATTATCTCGGGCTTGGGTTTTCACTGAAAGTGGAGTGCATCATTCGGGGTCAAAGTCAATTGGGAAATGCCTAGATTTTCTTAACCCTCGACTAAGCCCGTTCCATGTTTCACCCACAGCCTGCACGAAGCTCAGGTCAAAGGATATAATGAAATCCCTAACGCCTCACATCCTAGGCGGTGTGCCCGTGGAGCTGGGCGTTTATCCACACATGGCGGCCATTGCCTACACTACGTTCGGAACCGTGGACTTCCGCTGCGGAGGATCACTCATTGCCAGCAGATACGTCCTGACCGCTGCCCATTGTGTCAACAGTGACAGCACCACGCCGTCCTTTGTCCGCCTGGGAGCAGTGAACATTGAGAAGCCCAACCAGGGCTATCAGGACATCAACGTGGTAAGGATATTGGACTTATCTAGACCCTCAAGAAGTGGTTCATAATCCTCCTTGTCCCTTAGGCCAACCTCAACATCCATCCAGACTATGTGAGCAGCAGCAAGTACAACGATATTGCCATCCTGGAACTGGCCGAGGAGGCTCGGGAGACGGAAAACATTCGGCCAGCCTGCCTCTACACGGACACTGCTGATCCGCCACTGGACTCCAAGATCTTTGTGGCCGGCTGGGGTGTCCTGAATGTGACCAGTAAGGAGAAGTTATACCCTAACTTTTTTCTTAACTATTGAAACTACAATTACCTTTCCTGATTTTTCCTCTCTGACCACAGATCGGGCCAGGTCAAAGATCCTGCTGCGCGCTGGCCTGGACCTGGTGCCGGTGGACAAGTGCAACGCCTCCTTTGCGGAGCAGCCGAGCACCATTCGGGCCCTGAAGAGGGGCATCATCGACTCGCTGCTGTGCGCTGCGGACTCGAAGCAGAGGAAGGACGCCTGCCAGGGCGACTCCGGTGGCCCGCTCATCCGGGAGGTGAACATCGAGGATGGCATCTACTCGGTTTTGGGCGTGATCTCTTCGGGCTTTGGTTGCGCCACCAAAACACCCGGCCTCTACACGCGCGTCTCCTCCTTCCTCAGCTACATCGAGGGCATCGTGTGGCCGGACAACCGTGTATAGCCTCCTCTCAGCTGATCTGCAATAAATTTAGTTTGAACGGAGACGAATCTCTGAATTTCTTTGAGTCCCAGGGATGGATCAACGGGTGCTCCTATTATATGGTTACAGCAATGGGGGCATTTTGCTTTTATGGTCATGGGAAAGTACATTTCGGCTGGGGAAATTGATGAATTACTTAGAGAAGCTACAAAAATAGCTACAGGAACTATATTTTTATATATACATATTTACATCATTTATTTAAATAATTTTAAAATATAAACAGAGAAGAACCTATATCCCTGCAGAGTATTCTATTTTTAATCAGAAGTTTAAAACGCAGTGCTTTCCGAATTGAAATTCATAAATTTTTTACTTATTTATGGATTTTTAAAACTTTGTTTTGTCACCATCTTAAAAATGCTCAAAAATTTGAGAAACCCCTTTCAGTGGTATTATAATTTTTGCTCTTAATAAGTCAATTTCAAATTTCGGCCTGCCGAAATAAGCTTTCTTTCTTGTTTATAATTGCTTCGTTTACTATGTTCTTTTTGGTTCGCTATCTAACATATATCCAATATATTTCTATATTTCTATATAAATATTTAATATTTATTCAGAATCCCCCGATTCGCATCGCACCGTGAACTGTCACTTTTTGGCAGACCTGGCAAAGAGGGAACTGTCAAAGTAACGCCGTCTTCGCTTCCCACGCCCGTACGTAAACAGAGGCGAGAGCAAAGCTCTCTCTCACTTTCTCTTATTCTCGGTTAGTGTCGGCATTGCCAACAGCTGCGACAGCGAGGAGAGCTTTGCCGCCCCCAAGCAGCTTACTGAGCTTTCCGCCTGCTGCCAGCTGTTCGTCAAAGCATTACAAAGTGCTGCCGGCTTACCTCGTCCTGCGGCCAGCGCAACGGGACCTGCTGCTTAAATGCCTTTGCTGGAGCTCATGGGGCTTCAGTTGGTCGCGAGACTGCGTAGCTGTTGGTAGCCTCCTCAGCCTCCTTAGCCAGAGCGGGACACAGCGACAGTGTGGCAAGCGGAAGCGGGTCAGAGAGATAGAGAGGGAGATAGACTCAGTGCTCAGTACCGTTAGATTCAAACGAACGGATCTCAAGGCGTAGAACGCGTCGCGTTGCCTCGACTTTAGTTATATTTTTTTTTTTTTTTTTTTTTTTTTTTGAGTGCACCATGTTTTTGGAAACTTGAAGTACAGCGTCCTATTTCATCCGAAACAGTTGCAGCGCAGTAAATGTAAGTCCGATCTCTGTGAATTTGTTGTGATTAAACCCTGTGCTTATGTGGTCGCGTTTATGGCCAGGGCCAAAATGGTGGGAACTGGTTCATCTGTTGGCTGGCCGCGACGATAACGGTAACAACGACTGCTGTCCCGATCGAACGGTAACCGCGTACACGTAAAACAACAGGTGAAACAACGTGGGCAAATGAATGATCCAATGGGGGTGTCCATATGTCTGTGTATATATTCTTGTGTTTCTCCCAGAAAAACAAAAAATTCCACCCACAAGTTCGTCTAAGCCCGGCGGCTAAGCCAACTTGACAAATGAGCCAGACCTGGATTTGGGAATTACTTAAAATATGCTCGGACTTAGGCCTCGGAATTGCTCGTCTAATCCGAGGGGTTGAGATGCCACGATGCATACATATGGATACACGTCTTGGGGGGGCAGGTGGAGCTCCTTGGGAACAAGAAGTTCGATAGATGGAGATATAGGTACAAAAAGTGATATATGTAGATGGATAGATAGTTATGTTGGCATTACTAAAAAATCATTGAAGAATTGAAACCATATAAATTGCTGTCGAAAAGTATGCTACAATATGTTGGCCTTACAAAAAGGAAGTGCTTGATCATTTTCTTCTTATTCTTAATTGATTTCAAATCCAAAGCAATCAAGGATGCTACAGATATCACTTGGGTTCTTCAAACCTTTAAAAAGGTGTCTTAACTAATGCTGCAAAATTTAACATTGTAAAATTAACAAATTTATAGTGAATTTGATAGCTAAGGAAATGTATTTTAGACACATTTTGAAAGCCCAAATTTTTTGGACCACTCCAAAACTAGTAATCCTTGACACTTTTATGTTTGTGCTTTAATTAAAAATATTTTCTGATATTTATATTATTTGTTATTCCCATTTTTAAGCTTTAAATAAAAATAAAATATTTATTTTACCCATTTGTAAGCTTTTATTACATATATTTGCTGATAAATATTAATTAATATTGAAGAACTAATTAGTAATAATTATTATATTGATGTTTTTTTTAATATTAATATTATTATTTAAATACTAAAATTACTTCTACACCCTTTGGCTGTATTTTATAAAAAAAGACATGCTGTCATAATTATTATTATTTTATTTAATTTTATTTCAATTAACAGGCAACCTTACAGCTAACATTTTTTTTTAAAGGAGACTTGTAAAAATTAAGCGAGCTTATTAGTAAAGCCCTTACATTCAAATTGATTTTCATTAAAGTCTTACAAAGCAAGGGATTTATTTAAGCGGATTACAGTGCATTGTTGCGCACACATAAAAAATAATCCCTTAATAGTGCTGATAAATATTTAAAGGGCTCTTTCAGGTTGGCATGAAGCCATCGATTAAATTGAAACAAAATTGCATTTAAAAAGTAGCAAACTTAAGGCGTTTAAAAATGTAAAGACACATAACAAGCTCTGTGCCTTGGCTTAAAAAAATGCCTCATCAATTACACATCGGTCAGCGGATTTTCAAGTGGATTTTAGAGGAGCTATCAAAGGAGGAGGGGGCAGGGCTAGCTCTCCAACGTCCTTCGGTGTTGGCGGTTGTCAGAGTGGCCATAAATGTGACACTAAGTTAATAAATTTATGGCTAAAACACACCCAACTGCTTGTCCGGTGATGAACGGACGCATCGCTGCTAATTTCCCAACGCCAGCTCCGCCTCATTTCGCATTTCCCATTTGCCATTTCCACATTACCCTGGCTATTTCAATTTCCATCACTCCCGATTGTGGGCGATAAGGATGAGAGGACATGGAGAAATATAAGTTATACAAACATGGGTAGTAGTAGTAAATGCGTTAAAGCCCTCAATTTTGATAAGTGGGCTTCAACACATCAAAATATGAATTAACTTTGTTGTTTTTCTCCAAGTGTACTCGTTGGCGTATTAATAATATTTTTATTGGCCGCTTATTTGCCTTTCCCTCCCCCCTGACTTGACCTGGCTAACACTAGTGTATATACACACACACTAAATGTTATTTGGGCTGTCTTTAATTAATAAAGAGAGAGAGTGAGAGACAGGAGGAGGTCAAGGAGAAATTGGTTGTGGTATCTAGTAGTATTTTTATCCAATTACTCAGTCATCAGGTGCATTTGATGCGGCGGCATAAAGTTTATGATTTTTTTTTGGTAACCGTAAAAGCCATTTTAAGGCCTTGCCTCATTGACTTGAGCTTGTTCGGGACTCGCAGCTGCCTAACAACAATTTGCACTTTTATTTTCACAATTTCCCATACACACACCTCCCTGCCATTATGGCACAAAAGTCCATTGAATATTCATGTGCCAAATGTAATCACAATTTCGCTGCTGCTGCCGGCTGTGTTGCCTACTTTTTGGCGCGGAGGTGAGAAATGAATTTGATGGGTTGACTGGCCAAATGGGTGAAGTGGAATCGTTGGACTTGTGCCTACTTCCCGGTCGATTGCCCGCATTCCGGCACAGATTAAAGTGCAGCATTTTATTTCTATTTACAGGCACATTCCGCACTTAATCTCTCTCCGTCAAACCCAATCCCAGTCTTGGCCTTATCTGTTCCCTCTCTCCACCGATTCCACCTGCCAGAGTCAATGGCGCGGCACCCGGCCCCGGCTTAAGCGATGATTTCTGCGATGTTTTGATGTTTGTAACCCGGAATGCAGCAATAAAAATGCCGAGATACATAGCTCCAAGTGGTCCGGACGGACTGAGGAGGAGGTTGATGTGAAAACTAAGCATCTAATGGCGTTAGTTACTTAGCTTCTCCACCCCCCCGCCTTGAGCTGCACATCAATTTACACACAAAAGTTCATTTTGGTGTTGTGCGCGTAAATCTCTTTGCAAATCTCTCATTTCGCTCTTAGCTGAGAATAGGCCCAGGCGATGGTTGGGGGAATCGAAGTGGAATATACCCTGGATTATATAGTGCGAATAGGGGGAAAGAGAAACTAAACCAAGCAGGCTTCCTTCGAATAATCCCGAGGTGGAACTATTGTTGGAATTTAATTTCCAGAGTGTGTTGTATTGGATTATAAAAAACTAAAGCTTTCCCGGCAATAATCCTGACATTTCTGCTTAAAGTCAAGCGGGTAAAAGGTTAATCTAGCTTGTGAAAGATTAATTATCAGGAATATTATTGTAATCAAATTCAGAATTTTACTTGCAATTATCGAAAATATCGCATTTTATCAATAGTAATCGAAAAATCGCATTTTCACCATAGTTATTGAAACAATTGCATGTTAGTAATAGTTATCAAAACTACTGAATAATAATGTTTTCATATTAAAAAGCCCTAATTGAACTTTGACAATCATTGCCAAAAACTTGATGTTAATCGCCAAAGGGAGTTATCAGAATATCGGCTCACTAGCATTCTGATATATCGAAACTATTGCTTGCAGTAAATGATACGATAATTATACCTTTCAAGGGCAACAAAAAATAAATCAAAAGCATCTAAACTATTTAGCATTTTGACAAAATAAAACGTTTGTTTTTATTAAGTTCAAGTCCCACCAAACAGAGCTATCGGTCTAATTGTCTATCATTATTCTGAGATATCGAAACTATCGCTGGCATAAAGGAATATGTAATTCAAAAGCAGTATCACTCTGTTTTGATAGACTTAATAGTTTTTTAATTAAGACCGAAATGTAACTCCAGTGAATGGTATATCTTTCAATCGGATCTGGTGTCCTGCCACCTATGGTGTCGGAAATGGTTCTTCTTTTCGGGATTGACAAGGGTTGAATATGACGGGGGACTTCTCGAGGACATGGAGTAACTTTTGGTCCTGCTATTTGCCCACTCTCGCACACAACAAATGGCATACATAATAAGAAACACAAGAGAGTGGGGTAGACGGATTCCAGGCACTTAACTCTGATAAAGAATCAGCTGAACTCGGCAATGTGACGTTAGACATAATTTTTGCTTTATTTTTATTTTATTTTATCTTTTTGTAGGGCCCTGGCCCTGGCCCTGGCTCAGGTCCTGGTCCTGGTTCTGGCTCCTCTGTTTCTGTTTGTGTTCCAGTTTCTGTTGCTCTTTGCTGTGTTCCCCGACTTTTTCTCCTCTGGGTTGGGTTTGGTTTTTGCTTCCTGCTTCCCTGGACACGCCTCCCTTCTGCGTTTGTTGCGTTCGCTGAAAGGTCGTTGACAATGGCAAAAGGGAACTCGAAAGGGAAATTTATGGTCGGGCATTAAAAGAAATTTAATCGATTCCCCCTGTCTCGGGCTTAGCACGTGTGTGTGTGTAATGCCATTTCCCATTTTCCACTCACCCAATTTCCATATGCCTCCTGTCTCTGCAGCTCTGCACGGCGGGAAAAAGCGTTGACAATAGCAAAGGTTAATAATTATTTAATTTAAGTTTAAAAATTATTTTTGCATTTAATATAAGTATAAATAGACTAGATTTAAGGTCACATCACAAACAGTTTTGTTTGTAAACCAGCAAAATTTACTTTAAAAGAGTCACAGAATTCAGACTTGGGAATTTTAAGAGCTCTAGTTCAAGTCAGAAGAGAGTAAACTTGACTTTGCTTTTACAAGTTTTGCCTTTTAGAAGAAAAGTGCAGTGTTAATTAGCAAATTTCAAGATCAAAAAGTTATAGAAATCAAAATGGGAAATACTAGTGCACTTTAATTCGCTAAAATTCCCAACTAGTTCTAGTTAAAAGAGACTTAACACAATCTCTGGGGAAGCTGATATATTAATACCTCTAAAAAAGCACTACGAACCTGGAGATTTCTCTCAGTGGCTTCCTCGTGCCTCACGGGTCTGGTCCTGTTACCATTTACCATTTCGTTTTTGTTTTTTTGGCAACAGCGGCGCGTGCTTTGGGTTGCATTCGCGTCGTAAAAAGAGTCGACAGCGCCTCTGTCCCCCGCTATCTGCTCCTTATTTTTGCTCCATCCACATCACGTCCCGTCCCCGACTGGCGTTTGGCGTATGGGGTATGGATTTCCTT